CACGAGGCGGCAGCTGGGGATTCACTTCCTTCCCCTTCATCCAAATGCACGTTTGCTGCTTGCCAGTCTCCCCCAGCCTGAGTTAACCTGCTTCAGCCCTGACTTCACACCTTTCTTACCTTGAATTTCCCCCGGTGTTGTACAGGTGAAGTTTCTTTGTGTCCTTGCTTCTCTCTGTATATGCTGGTGAGAACAGGGTGTCCATTCTAACTATGCAAAGAACATTCTGCATAATTCATCAAGTACTGGAGCTGAAAGCTCAGGCAAGTTCTTCTCTGTTACTATACAGAAACCAACAGTACTAGAAACAAGGGGTTTTTTTCACCTGAGATTTGGCTGGGATGCATTCCAATTCAGTTTGTGTTATGTTGGTTTCTGTTCAAGATCATTCACTGCACTGACCTTGACGTAAGCTTGTTTTCCTTTAGCCATGCACACCATCTAGACACAGTTATGATGTGAATAGAAATCGATGATTATTTGTCTTTCTCAGTGACCATGCTTTCAGATACCAGCAGTCTTTTTATCTTGTAAATATACCTTCCCAGCTATTGAGTACTAGATATAATAATAGCTAATAATCTGTATAGCTTGCTTGCAGTGCAGAGATATAATAGCCTGTCTGACATTTTTTAGAACCAATATTTACCTTTATCACTTCTAAGTGTCTCCTGAGACTCATTATTTATGTAATTCCCATTAAGAGGCAGTAGTAAAACAGCTTGTTGTCTTACAACACTTGTTGTTAAGTACATTATGTTTAGTAATAAATACGTCAACTTGTGCTACACCAGAGAATTATTATTACTTCTTATCTCTAGACATTTATAAATAAATGAATCATGTTTATTTATAGACATCTTTCCATTTACTGCTTGCAGTAGCCAGATAAAACTACTTTTTTTTTTAGGTTCTTGACACATGCTAATTCCTTTTGAACCTAAGGTTGTAACAAAATTAATAATCTTGGGGTTTTGTATCTTTGACTTTGCAATTAACTAAGGATGATAGTTAGGAAAAATAAAAGTTGTATTGAAAAAGAAGTTATGTCAGTTTAGAATAATGTGGCAAAAATACTTCACAGAACTGAGTTACTTGAACATCTAATTGTTATTTCTACTGCCACTACTAAGGCCTGATATATGAACATAATAATTAACTTGTGTCTCTAATTTGTCTGATTAATGGCTCCATGCAGATCTATGGAAACCCTCAATATAAATTTCAAGCTCTCTTATATAAACAAGACAATATTTTGCAGCAATATGAATATATCCTGGGATTCTTTGTCTCTTTCAAAGCCTTTTTAAGGCCCTCAAAATTCTCACATTAAGCTGCGTATTATTTTGGTGTGCTCTGAGACTTAAGTTGAGCATTATGTGTAGTTACAAAAATACTTCACATGGCCACATCAAAGCTGACATTTGTTGTAAGACTCCCACACTGGTATTCCCTGAGAAATGCACCATCACATTTTAGAATGGTGTCCGTCACCTCTTCATGCCTCCCGAAGCTCCTCAGGCAGGGAAAACATCAAAACAGAAGTTGAATTTCATGTGGTTTTGTACAAAAATGAAATCAAAGCAAACCCCTGTCTAAAATTACTCCTGAATTATTAAAATTAACAATTTAATCAAGAAAAAGAGATAGCCTCTTAATTTACTGGATTAGGATTAATTGAAAAATGTTATTTTCCTTTATTAAATGTATGTTCTTACAGTAGATTATTATCCCTAATAATTGGCAAAGGATTTTACTGTGACCTCTATTGGTTTTTTCCCTAATTCAAAAGGTGCATTCATTGAAAAGATTCTTGGCTGAAATCCATTTTACTGCTTGTATAAGGTATTTCATTAAAAAGTAATTTAAGAGAGAAATCTTTCTGTTGTAGCTTTACTAAGCTTTATATTTGGGTTTAGATGGCTGTAAATATTTTCTTCAGTTTAATTTGTTTCTGGAATTTTTCATATCCTTACTGTAAATTTGTTGCATTAATAAATATCACTACAATGGAGAGCAAGCTCATAAAGCACTTCTTAAAAGTGTGGCTCTGCTGCTATGGGCAGTAATGGAATAGGGCCTCCAAATATGTGGGGGTTTTGAGTAATTTGCATTAATCCCATAGCAGCTGAATCACATTTTTCCTAGGAGGCTCTGTAGTCATCCAGCACTGAGCAGATGATCCATACATGAAAAATTAATACGTAACAAAGGCAGTGTGTGCTGGGCATGCAACAGCAAATCACTGCTAAACTAATTTAGCATCTTAGGGCTGGTTCTGATCTTCAGGCTTGCACCACTAGAGGCTAATCAAATACTGCACATGTAAGGACACTTGAAAAGGAATTCATTGTATCTGTTTGCATTCAAATGTCCTTGGTTGGAGAAAGAGTTCAGCAAGTACATCTTTCCTCGTTTAACATCGCACTGAGAAAAGCTGTGCCCTTTGATGGCCGATGTGTCTCTGCAGGTTTTTGAGGGGCAGTGTTTCCAGTCTTAGGGTGAAATGTGTGTAACAGCTGTGCTGCAAGTGCAAAATCTGCTCAGACCATCCTCTGGCACCCCAAAGCAGTTTAATTAAGTAAGTTTCTCAGCAGCTGTGAAGTCATCCTGCCTGCTTGGATGGGCCTGTGACCAGAGAGAGCGAGCCTATGGAAACTTGGCATTTCAAGGCTTTTCCCTCTCTTGTTGTGTTCGACGCAGTTTGTAATCAGATGTAACATGACAGCAACAGCTCAACAAGCTGATAATACACTTCACTTGCAAAATTCATATGCTAAGACTGCAAACACATTTTTATTTAAACTATGTCATGTTTATGCATAGCACAAGGATTTTTTTTTCTATGGATCTGCTATAGAAAGTCTGAGAAGATCTAGTGTTTTTATCTTTTAAAGTGTGACTGATATTTTTACAGTCTCTAAGAAAAAGTTTTTGACTTTCCCTGGTAACACTAATTTATTTGGACAGTCATTCAGATACAAAGCAGAGACTGAAAGAGGTTGTTACTTGCTCCCTGAAGCATTTTTGCCCCATTTTCTAGCCATTAGGGTGTTTCATAAGCTGTTATTATTTACCATATTGCTAGAAAAAGAAGGAGATAGAGTTGGAGAGTCAGAATTTCATTGAAAAGTCATTGATGGTGTAAAAAAAAGGTTCTTTGTCATTAAGAAAATCCTGGAGTAGCTTTTGGAGATGATCCAAGAAAAACTAAAGGGGCTTTTCTTGATGTACTATTGGAACAAACACAGAACTCCCATGTCAGGGTGTCATGATGGACTGACTGGGGGCTGTGAATCTGTCATCTAATGAGGCTGTTCTTCCACTCTGGGAACCTGAATCATGTTATGTTTTATTCTGAGTTAAATCCTCTTGCATCTAGACATTTTCACTCATTTGACTCGAGTGAAATTCTACCTAAAAATGTCTGAGCAGTGACAAAGAAGATGTGAGAATTCCCATGTAAGTTCTGCATCTGGCATGTGAACATGGGAGGTGGGTGTTCAAATAGTGTCACTCGACACTTTCTTTACCATACTCCTCCAGAAAAGCCTGAGAGAGTTTTCATAGGGATTCAGTTCCATGGAATTAGTGGTAGGAGGCAAGGAACAAGGATTCAGACTGCATTATTGTCATTCAAAATAGAGGAAAGCATAATCAGTTAATAGAATCTGAGTGCTTCCAATCTTTCCTTCCATTTTGAAGGATCCTTCTCTAGGACTCATGTTTAAGAACGCTATGAATATTGCTATAGACAAATACACAACTATATCAGTCTTTGGGTACTCTAAAGCTGTATGGCTGCAATTTCTTGTCTCTCCCTACACAAAAGCACAAGCCTTGCTTTCCATGATCTTTTCCAAGAAAATCTGAGGACTGAATACACTGGAATGATTTCTCCTCTCTCTGTTTTTCTATGTGGAAAAGAACAAAGAATTAAGAATTAAAATTTTCAAGCCATACATATATATATATATATACTTGCTTGAATGCTATCCCTACAACTTACTAAGTGAAATATTAATTTTATCCAGCTTGAGGTTCTTTTCTAACAGTCTTTCTTAGATCTGTGTATTTATTTAAACAGATCTCTCTAACAGATACAAACATTTCTCCTCTCAAGTTCTGGTTTATCTGCTATTTTATCTGGGAGGAAATGCATTGTATTTTGTTCCTACTCTATATCGTATTTCATGTTGTGGTACAATTGTTTGTCTGATTCAATTAATTGCTTTACTGGTTATATGTTGTTATACCTATGTTTTCTGAATGTCAAATCAGATTTGGGAAACATTCCTGTTATATTTGTCCTTGGGAAACACTGGACAGAAAAATCACATCTATTAAAACTGCAATCATTACCAAATCCACAGAACCTAAGTTTTTGAATTAATAGCACTTAATCAAGCAACGCATCATAACAAAGCAGTAACTAAAGAAAACCAAAGTAAAACATTCTCTTTCATTATTGAACATTTTTAGCTTTATTATTATAATAGAATTACAATCTGACATAAAATAAAGAGCTTTTGCTAAACTCTGTAAAGCAATACATGCTTCTGCCATAAACAGCCTCTATTAGATTTAGGTTTTATTGCCACATCACTGCACTGAGGTGCATTAAACATTCAATGTCATCTTTTTAAAATTATCTTAGGAGTAAACAGAAACTGTCCTCTATAAGAGTGTATCATTATTTTCAAGGAAGACTTACTATTATTACATGGTTTAGCAAAGCATTGTAAAAAAGCTACATAGAGAATACCTTGTCTTTGATAAACTGTGCAGTCAAGTTTATACAGTATAATACTAATGGCATAGACTAACTAAGAGGTGATATAATGCAATCATTGCATAGCAAAAAGCAGACTAGTTAAGTAATATTCACATCTAATGTGCAAAATGCAGACCAAAAGGTAGCTATGAATTGCTAGAAAGATAAAACGCCCTAAATGAACACACTAGTTTAACGCCAAAATAACAAGATAAACAAGTACACAGAAGTTAAAGAGCCATAGTTTATTTTTTTCTATACATTTATCTACACATGATACCAGAGATGAAACATCCCCTTTTAATAAGCTCCAATCATATAACTTATCAAGTTCAGACAGGACTAAATGTTAGACAATGAAGCATTATTTAAAAAAAAAAAAAAAACAACAAAAAAACTTCTCTAAATAAAACATTAACTGTTTCCTTTTGTAGATAGAGAATGTCAACTTTTTGATTTATTGAGAAAGAGTTTAGAAAACTAACTGTGAAACTTGACTCTCAGTAGCTGTTTCTCTGGAGGCTCATGTAGCACTGTTTCAAAATCCATCTAATACCATGTATTACATTTTCTTAATTGATGCTGCTTGCAAATATCCATCATTCTTCCCATCTTTTTGAAAAATCTTTATCTGAAATTTGATTTCTAAGAATCAGCAGTAATGATTCTGACTAGAATTGTTTTAAAGGGAGCACAATACCTGCAAAATGGACATCTTGTATTTGAAGCCCTTACATATTGTTCCTACAAATATATTGCTACAGTAAAAATGAAATGTAGTAAGTTTACTCCATAAAATCTATTTTCCTGTACATTCTTTTATGTATGATTTCTTTGTATTTAATGCTACATATATTACATTGCTTATTGTAACAGTTATGTTTCAGCAAATATAGCAGTAATATACAGATGAACTTCTGTCTTCACAAATATTTCACCATTTTTACCTACCAAATATAATCCCGTACTTGAGTGTTTATGCATGACCTGAGCAGACCAGTCATTAATCTAATAGTATACGTTGGATGACATTGTCAAATTGCAAGCTACTGTACACTTAACCACTTTACAAATGGAATAAATTCCAAGCACTTTCTGCTTATTAATTTTTTGAGGCTTTCCAGTACCACTGATTTATTTTTTTCCTCTAATTCAGGCTCTAAATATGTTTTATTGAGCATTTAACAACATATTAAGAGCTAAGAGGTAAATCCTACACAATGTTTTAAGAACACAACTTTAAAAAAGTAAAAAATGTACAATCTCATGCTGCATATTTACAGATATTATTTAAATACTATATTTTATCTTTCTGCTATTCATAAATCTCAGTCTAAAGCTTCTTTTAATGTATCATTTTAAAAAAGAATACATTCAACGTATCTAGAGCTTGCAAAAATTGTTGTTTTGTTGTTTGGTTGTTTGGTTGTTTTTTTTAAACTCTCTAAAATATCATGATGAGTAAAAGCTATCTTTAAAGCATCCAGGAATTGTTTGGATTACACAGGTGATAGAGAGAACTTGGATCTGCACTCAGTTGTGCAACTGGTTTTAAATCTAGTCTAGTGACAACTTAATGCTTAAAACAAGACTGCACTACGAGAGCAGATTAAAGCGTTTGTTACCATTAGATCTTATGTGCTATACAGGGGACAAACTGTATGTAGAGTGAGTAGATTTCCTTTGTCATTAAAGATCATTTAATATTATAAGTCAGGTAGTTTGCAACATAGAAGAGGAAAGGGATTAGGAAAATAACATATCTTACGGAATTCAGTAAATGGAAAGTTTTACAACCTTGAAAAGATTATAAACAGTGGTTGAATAAATGGTACAGTCTAGTATGTGCATCAGGAATGTCATAAAGTGTATTTCCCCCCTCCCTACAGTCCTCTGAATAAAAATATCTTTTTCCCATACAAATACAATACCTGTTGGGGACATTCAGTACTAAGCTGGCTACAAATGTTTTCTTTCCATCCTCCCTCCCCTCATTACACTATAACCCACTCTTTTCCATTTTCAGAATTACTTTTCCAAAGTATATAGCTTATATTGATCTTTCCCTCACACACTGGTTTTTTAAATATACAGATATATTTTACCTTTTGCTAAATAGAGAAACCTTTATTTTCTTTAAGACAGAGGCAATGAAGCAAATGGGAATTAATGTATGTGGAAAAGGGAAGCAATTCCCCGAGCAAAAGACAAAACAGAACTATAGGAATAAAAGAGGTTATTGATGTGGAGTTTGAACTTTTAGTTGGGGCTCCCGGTTTAAATAGGTAGCCCAGTAGACTAAGTTAAAGATTCCAAAAAGCAATGGGAAGGCTATTCTTGATAGTCGGTCAATTTTACTGACGCTGTTAAAAGTTTTCTTGGGTTCTGCAGGTTTTGTTTCTGGCTTAACTTCCTTGGGCTCAATGGTTGCACTTTTAGCAATGGTTGCCAGCCCAGGGTCCCTTGCAATATTAGGGGTGTAGCTCGTAGCTGCAGCTGTGTATGTGTTGTTTTTCTTAATGAGAGGATCCTTCACTTTCTTTGGCTGAAGAAAGAAGAAAGTGTTTTATTCTCACTATCTTCTCAACAGATACAATGACGAAAAAGCACTATAACATTTTACAATTAATCAAATTCATGCCACAAAGTGTAATAAGCTGTAACAGAGAAGTTAGCTCTGGATACATGATTCACGCAAAATATTTAGGTGACAACAAAGACAAAATCATCCATTTGTGTTATGTTTGTTAGTTAAACCAAATTAGATCATGGATAAATTTTAATGAGAACTGATAGCTTTAATGGTAATCAGCAGGGACAAAGCACTCATAGTTCAATATTCCCCTAATCAACTGCACTTCTCAACCGGGTCAGAACCTTACAATTGTCAAAATACCACAGCCACAGAAGTTTTTGCATACATTTATACTGAGGCATCCACATTGTCTCTTATTTAAACAGAAAAAAATTATTGCCTTCCCTTAAATAATATACATTTATCTTTTCTGCTGAGTTGCACAAGTCAAAACCTCAGTAGAACATTTCATTATTAATAGCATTAAGTGTCACCTGATATGTCAGAAGTAGTATTTAGATGCTCAGTGTCTGAGTAATTCTTGTGTAGAAATTCTGTATGTGAACACGAAAGGAAATTCTTTTGGAGTAATCACTTACTATTCTAAGTAATAAGAATTTCTAATGGGCTAAAAACTCTTCCCCTCCATTGCCCAAGCAGGGCCCAGTGTGACCTGTTGGGATGGGGGTAAGTGTTGTTACCTTTTCAGGAACGACGCTCTTGCCGTCCCAGGCGTAGCCCCTCTTTGTGAAGTAGTTCACGGTTGCAAACTCGATGAGTGCAGAGAACACAAAGGCGTAGCACACGGCGATGAACCAGTCCATGGCAGTGGCATAGGCCACCTTGGGCAGCGAGTTCCTGGCACTGATGCTCAGTGTGGTCATTGTCAGGACAGTTGTCACTCCTACAAAGCAAACCATTTTGGTGTCTTTAAGACCATAGCTGTATTTTGTCCTTCATTTCTCAACCATAGATGGAAAAACCTTTTCTACACCCCTGCTTCTTGGAAACTTCCCCACCTGGGTTCAGTTGCTAATTGAGGATATCAGATTTCAAGTTCTGTGGAAGTTCCAGGATCTTCAAAACATTTTTATACCTTTATTCTTTGATGTTGTTGTAATAGAATATTATTTTTAAAGTTGGAATGGAAATAATATCATGAGCTGTGGAATGGATACTACTTTACACTTCCTGGTATTTGAAGATTCATAGTTACTGCTCTTTACTCATGCCCTGCAAAATGTCCTATGGATGTAGCAATTTAACATCTTTCGTTCTTTCTTGCAGCAGTTCCAAGATACTGAGAAAACTAAAAAACTTGATGTTTCATTCAGATTATTTGGTATAAGTTCCTTCAAAGGTATACTCAAAGGGCACTAAGATTTATGTTATTACATTTGCTTGAATTAACAATTTTACAGATTTCTGTCCCTTTATTCACTGATACCCAGAAAACAGCAAACATTTTATGTAGGAACAATGACAGTATAATTTGCATTTCTGATATCAGACCTTCTCACTGCTGAATCTTTCCCCTTACCTGAGAGATAACGAGGACTGTACTGAACTCACTCTGCCTGCAGCTGTTTAAAAGAGTGCACACCGGGCCTTTACATCAAATCACATGTCCACAAGTTACCTTGACAACCGCACTGTCATGTATTGAATGTGTCTGGCAAGCTCATCTTCTCTACACTGCCAGTGAAAATGAGCAGTGGCTAAAATAGGCCAGATAATGACCAATGTATTTACATGGGAGTGTGAAAAGCTTGAGTTATTAGTGCCTAATGAGGAAGCAATTTCTCTTCCCTGAGAGACAGCCTAATCTTGTCTTTGACTCATTACTAGTGATCTTATGTTTCTCTTGTATCGTAGCAAACCAGGATTTATAACTTTTATTATCTGCGGTTCTAAGTGGACTAAAAGATGAAAGTTGTGCTTCTGTATGTATATGTATTCATGCAACATGTTCTGAGGCTTTTTTTCACTGCCATCATGAAATGAGAAAGCTCTCTTGATACATAAGGATGGAGCAAACATGAGACTATTTACTAAATAACTGTCTTCTAAAAGGAAAACTGAGAAATGTGTGAGTTCTTGAGCCTGTGAAAATAAGAATTTGAACACTCTGCAGTATTATATATTATTCATTGAGACTAGGAAATTATGTTCTCGTTCTATGACAATGAAGCATTTCAAACCAATGATCAGACACTTTTTTTTAAATGGTATATGCAAAAAAAAGGTGAAATAGCTACAATTTCAATAGCTTTGACTACAGAGGCCCATAAAAGTCCCTACTAGAGCAGTTCTCAGTGAAGCTGATGCTAAAAATTCAGAACTAATTTTAGTTGCTAATCTAAAGAATATTATGTAAATCAATGTAGTCTAAACTGTTGTCCAGTAAATGCACATCTGTATATCAACAGAAAGCCTCTGCCTGGTTCTTGAGGTCTAAGGCTATGCAAGTTGTGACTGATTTCCAGAGGCATTAGGAAGCTAAAGCACAGCTGTGAAGAGTTCTACGAAAGGTCAGTAAAAATAGCTCTTGTTCAACAAGAGTTTCAGAGGCTGCGTTTCTCAACAGTGAGTCTCTGGTTTTGCTATGTCCAGCATAAATGGGTAGATTCTCTTCGTCAAAGCCCAAAGCATCCTGCCCTGCAGTGTCCTGAGGCAGGGAAACAAGTGTAAAAGCCACTTTGGTTGTGTGTTTTTCCACCTCCCCCTGCCAAAGGTGTTCAACTGTCCCATCTGAATATCACCAAAAAAATTAGGTCATATAGCTGAAATCTCAGGTTCCAGTTTCCCTAAATGAAGATTTGTTACATCTGTTTGGTTTGTCTTTTTTTTTTTTTCTTGTTTAAATGTACTTGACATGGATTAATCTCTCCAAAGAACATGCAAGTTACTCATTTCTAATTTAAGATAAGCATTTGCAAGCAGTGGTTAAGCTCCAGGGACCATCTGTATACACTGAGAGTCCTTTAGATTGCTTTCTCACTGTATTTGTTGAGTGCATCTGTAAGCTGTTGCTGATCTCAACAGGAGACCTTTAGCAGCGCCTGCAAAAGGGATTGATGAAAAAATTTTTAAGATAAAAATTTTCAAAGGGCCTTAGGATGTCAAATGAGCAATACCCATTGATTAAAGCATTTCTGATAATCCCCCATGAATGTCATTGCCATTGTCAGATATGTTTTATCCATACTCTGATTGTTTTGGAAAATTCAAGCAGTAATAGACTGCTTGAGGTATTTTCAGGTCTCCCAATCAGTTTTAAAGCTCTGGATGTACATCCTTGCAATGGAACATCCTAACTCTTGTGTACTGCACTGTGTCCAAGCTCATGCTGTTCTCCAATATCATATTACATAAGTTAAGATGTTTTACCATAAAACTTCTTATACCTATTTGCCTCATGATTGCCAGGCATTTTATAGGTCTTGCTTACCAAATACTGTTCTAGCTGGAACAGATTCTCTGTTAAGCCAGAAGGACACCTGTGACAGAATCACTGTCATGATGCATGGCAGGTAAGTCTGGATGACAAAATAGCCAATCTTCCTCTTCAAATGAAAATGTGTAGTCATAACAACATATTCTCCTAAAATCAAGAAAAACAGGAACATTAAAGTTTTTGTAAATATACAAATGAGAGAACTTTATAGGAAGTAATTTTTCATTATATTCACCCCTTTTATAAAAAAAGTCCTCAGATCAAAGTGGGTCAGCTCTGAAGAAAACATTTAGTAAACCTGGTTCTGGAGTTCCACTAATAATACAAGACCAGACAGTTCTGGGAAATCCTAATTAAATTTACATATTTTCATCTCTGCTGAGTAGTGAATGAATATCTGCATTAACTGCTGGTGGCTGCTCAGAGCTCTTGTGAAAGGTCTTGTTTCATTAGAAGATGGAAAAGCCATCACAGGAAACTCATATAAACATCATCTGAAGACTAAATCAAGACAGGCTCCCAAAAGTGTTTCAGTGGGGCCAGGCTGAAGATGTAATTGTTGATGCAACTGTGTCTGCAGTACCACTTGTCGGTGCTTTGTGTGCTATGAAGATGAAACGTCCTTGTTCTGCTAATTTAGTACTTCAGAAAATGATTATTCTCTCCTGAACTAAATGATTAATGCAAGAATAACACAGAATATATTCATTCGCACTAATGCTTTGGGTGCTACAAAAATATATGAGTGGGGTATTCTAATTGCAATGGAAAGGAATGATATTTATATATATATATGAATATGTTTTATTAATACATTTAATAATTTCAACTATAGATTAATATATAATATATTAATATATGTAATTCTATGAACCTTTCTTGCCAGAGCAGAGCAAATACTGCTCATTTTCAGATCATTATTTACATAATTGAAAATGGATTTTGAAAAACAACATATTCTCAAAAAGATTGAAAAACCAATTGTTGTGCTTGAGTCTTCTTATTATGCAATAAACATTATCTTAGGAATGAAACAAGTAGACATGTAACTGAATGGAAACTTCTGTCTAGATTAGAGATGACATGAAATTACTGTAGTTCTATTTTAAAATGTAGGCAGCTGGAAAGAGAAAGCTCTTGTACCGGAAAAGCTTAAACTGGATAGAAAAACTGTGTCTAGACATTGAGTGCTTATGCACCGAGCATGCCCACTGCTTTAATGCAGGGCCTAGAAGAACATTCATTTGAACAAACTTGCACAATATATAACTCCAAGAAAAGCTTATTTATAAGATGTGACAATACTTCTGCTGTGTTTCCATATAAAGCACAGTAGCAAAGCGGGAAAAGGGAATAAACTTTAAATTGAGAAGTAAGGAAAAGCATACACAATGATTTTTTTTTTTTTTTTTTTCAAAAATAGGAGTGACAGAAGTAGTATAGTGGGCATTATTACTCGAACTTTGTTCACCTGTCTTTAATTTTCACTGAAATAACCTTCTTCTCCTCTGTCCCTGTGATTATAATCTTATGAAAGGTGCCAGTCTTGGCTAGGAGAGCCAATAATTTAATTTTATCTACTAAAATATGACGTGGGAAGCTATTTTAATGCAATCAGGTATAGAATGTGCACAGCGGTATGTCAGAATTAATTCAGAGATTGCAAATGGCAAGCTAAGAATACAGAGCGAACACACCACTGTACTCTGGAGCTTTATTTAGCTGCGTAAATTATCAAAGTATTTTTAACCTCTGAAAAATGAGAACAAGATCCAAGGCATAAAGGCAATTAAAAAGCCAGGTATTACTCTCATCTTTTAAGCACTACAGCAGGTCGGAGCTAGAAGTCAGCTAAAGGTAATGCCATGAGGACTGAATTAGCAAAGCAGAGCCCCAGAGTAAGTCCTTACAGTTCAGATACAAGGCAAACCCATCCTCTTAAATCTCCAAAGTACCAGTGGACTGCAGTCATTTTTCAGTAGATCTTTGATGAGATTGATTGTAATGACCACAGGTTATTAAAGGCCTCCAGTTATTTACTGCACCTTTTGCTTGCCATATTTTGTGGCTTTCTTTAATTGAAAGCATGACCACATTCATGACAGCTTCCCAGTAATTCTGCTGTAATTCTATTCTGAAAGTGCTGTAATACAGCCATAAAATTCCCAACCAGCTAAAGTTTCAAATAGCTCTTGAGCAAATATTGCCTGTATTCACAGTTTCCCACTGCTAGGCTTTCACAAGTTGGAGCTTATGCATCTTGTATTCTCTTATCTTATCCAAGGAAGTTAGAAAGAAAGGTATTTCTTTTTAGCTTTGTTGTAATTCCCTAAGTCTTCTACAAGTAACTGTGTTGTGCAGATAAATCTGTTTATCATTTTATTTATTCCATGGAGTTTAAACTAGTCTATATGTATTATATAATATAAAGCATAAAAGTCATCACATGCATCCTGCATCTATATTAACCTAATGGTTTGAATATCAAGTTATTTGAATATTTTCAGAGCTCTGGAAGAGTTTGTGCCTGTGCTTGGTACTTGTGTAGCTGTAGTTTTTAAACAGCCCTTAGTTCTACAGTATATTGCAACAAATGTGCAGGTGGTATAAACTAACCTGTGTCCATAGAAGACAACAGTTGATAATTCAGTAAAGTTCCAATAAACCTATTATTAAGTGTTCTGTAAACTATTTGTAATAAACCAAATTTACCAAGTGAGCACCTAAAATTACTGTGCATCACATCAGACATTAGGTTAGATGTGGGGACTGAGTTCCAGCTATCACAATACTTTTTCTATCACTGTAAGGCTTTCCTTGTCATTAGTTTAAAACAAAGTATTTACCATCTACTACTTATGCCGTGTAACTCAGTAAAAAAACTCTGAAGAACAACATCCTCTCAGCAGATTTACAGAACATCAGAAAGAAACCAGACCATTTTGAGTATAATGATGATTCTCATTGCAAAGCAATGTTTTCAAGATGGCAGAATAATTCAAATTAAACAGAATCTTGGACAAGTCCTTTAAGCATTTGTTAAGGTGCTTACAAAAAGGATAATTTTAAACTATTTCTCAGTCAATATGAATCAGTAGCTGGAGAGTGACAGAAATTTTGCATACAAATAAAAAATGGTTGACTCTGCTTAAGCAAAACAGCAGCAGCGATAATTATTATTTTACATACTGAATACTATTTTTAAGCCTGCAATACCTGCACGTTCCATTGCCAACACAGATGCATAGACTATACCATAAAAAATGTTTTAGTCTTTCAAGATTCTATTGTCATTAAAAAATCAGGGTTTGTAGTTAGTTGTTATATATCCAGAAATAAGGACAGAAGGTGGTCTACTAGCCAAGGAAGACATTGGAAAAAAAAAAGAAAAAAACCCCAACTTTATGGAGCCATCAAATCATTGAATAATTTTGAGGTTGTTTCGAATAACCCAGCTACACCCAAATCCTTGGGAAAATAAGGATCTAGAATTCCAGACAACTATGAATATCATCTTAAAATTCCCTAAAATTATGTAGATTCCTCTAATGATCCACAGAATCAGCTGCAAAAGAGCTTCATTTTCTGGCCTAATAACAGTGCTGAGAACTCTTAAGAGAAGATTGTCCTCAATTTCTTTTGTCATTTTGTAAGATAAGTCATTATCCATGACTTATAAAAGCTCCAGAAAAGTCAATGGCAATACTTCTAACTGTGGCCAGGCCAAAGTTTTCCCCTTTTCATTTTGGATGCCTGATCCACGCCTCTGTGCTCTTCACCAGGAGCAGTGAATCTGTGGGAGCAGTTGTGTTGGTACTGTTCTTAGGCAAAGTCCTTATTACTGACATCCCACTTACTTCTTTTCTGATTATATCAACTGAACAGAAGCTTCCCAACTGTAACCTAGAAACCTGTCTGTGAGAAATTTTCTTGGCTTAATAGAGCATATGAATATATTTTGGCAAGCTAAATAAAAAATTCAAACATGAATTACAGTTCACCTTAAAGTGCCTCACTTTCCCTGAAATGTTCATTGACTTTCTCAGTAACACATTAGGGAGTTTGGTTTTTTGCAGGTATAACTGTGCTTCTCTCCAAGTAACGAGGTTGTGTGTATTCAAAGCAATACAGTCACTTCTCCTAATGCAGTGCTGCTTTTGGCCCCACTGAACAGTCAGTCTGGTCAACGGAGCTCTTGTTCATGGCCAGTTCTCAGTTTCTTACTGCATTTAGGTCTTTATGCCCCTTCCAAATTATTGGAAAACAAATTTAAAAAATCACGTCTTGAAAAACACTACAAAGTGAAAAAGCAAAGGTTTTTAGCCAGCTTCAAGGTTACAGGTATATCATACATATATGTTGGCTATATTTCTGTATGTCATTAAGAGTTTTGGAGTTAAAGCTGGTGCTAGGATTAAGCTAAGCCCTATTTGGAGGTTCCAGATGGTTTTTATTTGATGACATAGTTTTTCATTCTTTAAATACCTCCTTGAGAAACTATATACTTGCTTCTAGCAACTTCCTTGCCTCCAGGAATATGATCTTTGAGGATTCATATTCTTATACTATTTTTGTAAGCTTACATAGTAAGCAGATAATACAATAAGGATACGAGAAGTGCTTATTTATAATGTAAATTACTGTTTTTTCTGGCTAGATCTGATGCTGTAGGAACCTTTTTAATTGTTCAAATATTTTAACCACCAGTTGAAGTAGGAAAATAATCCCAGGATATGTTAACTTTTCAGAGACATGTTTTCCTAATCTGATGCTCGTATATTGCAATTTACCTCTTACTTGTACATCTTAGCATTTTTTTCTCCTGCTCTAAATTATATTTTGGCAATTAAATATGACCCTCCCCAAAAAACCTTCTTCACAGACCTGTACTGGACTGCACAATTCCAGAGTCCACAGTTTGTCCAAGAAGATCATACTGGTTCAATCGAGAGCCGTCTTCAGCCACCACCACTGACCTTGCTGGTTCCCGTGTCCATTCATATACAACCTCTGCTCTGGTATAAGCATCTAATTTTAAAAAAATACATTACATTTCAGCTTTACACCTTCTGTTGCCTTATTGCTCTATCAGAACAATGTCTTGCACAGTAGTTTGAATATTAAATTCTCTTTATTTATCTGCGGAAACCCAAAACCAGCTTACTGGAATTTATCAGTGTGAAATAGAACTTATTTTACAGGTCTATCTGTATGATGATTAGCTAAATATCTGCTGTAGGGTTGGATTAAGTTTGGTTCTCAATGCCATGAAAACATTTCTCTCTCTTCCATAATTGCTACCAATGTAAATGTACCAGATGCCAGAGTGATATGTGGAATATCACAAGCGTGCAAGGGCTACAAACCCTTTCTCTAATTTTTTACTATTGTCAAGAAACATGAGCCCCAGACTTTTCAATTTTTCTTACTGTTATGTTCTCTGGGCCACTGTAAGATAGTAAATCCTTCTCAGAGTGGTTTCAGTGACCTCACCACCACGGGCCTGGCTACAACTTTCCATGCCCTAGTAGACATTTCTAAAGCTGCCTAGGCTCGAGTGAGTTTAAATGACAATGACTCTATTTTTTTTTTTTTCCCCCCTTTGGTTATTTCTGAGAAGTCCTCACACTCAAGTTCCCATTTATTTGAGTTTGGTACAAAGCAAAAGAAAAGCACTGAGCTCTCTAAACCTGAGCAGTCTGATATGTTACAGAGATAATTCAGTAGCATCTACATGTCCGTTGAGGGAATTTGTACTATTAGTCATGTTATTTCAAGAGACAAGCTACATAAAAACATTTTTAGTCTTGGTCCCATAGTAAAATTCTACCATTTTGTGCAGTCTGGAGTCTGTCAACTCTCACTCTGAGCAGTTAGGGTGAGAGTTAGTAGACTACATGGAGGCATCTTGTGTAATTTTGACACCTAAGAGTATCCAAAGACATGAATGGGACTGAAAGTGTGATCAGAACCTACATCAAACTAGCACACAACAAAGGCAGGTAGAAGCCAGCTGGGAAATTATAGTAGAATCCCACCCACCAGATGAGATTTTCCCTTTTTTCAGACTGGTAATCAGGAAAGGAAAGGGAGGAATCTGCTTCACTTGACCTCATTTGTGAGGTAACAATTTTATCAATGTAAGAGAAAACAGTAATTGAAGAGGTGGTGTTGGAGGGAGTGCACTGATAAATTAATTGCATGGCATTTGATTCTGTATTATTGAAGCTGAAGGGTGCTTTTATCCTCAGACTTCACATTCCCCCAGCACTGTAACATAACTTGGAATAGATATTTGAAATCAATGGTAAATGTTAATCTTTACCTTAGTAATTATGACTTTAAAAGTTATGGCCCCAGTAAACACAGGAATTGACTTGCTAATCTAGTCACATAAAGAAAGAGTGGCAATAATAATACCCATTTTCAAGCATTTGTTGGAGTATGAGAGTAGCTTGGAAGAGAGAGGACTGTTTTTCTGAGCTGCTGAGAACCACTGGATTGGATTTGAGGGAAGGGAGTATACTCATCAGTGCTGGAAGCTAGCTTGCCCTGCCCTGAACCTGCCAGATTGGGTGCTCCCTTCCACCCTCAACATCCAATTCACATTGAATGAACAGCAACACAGCCTTTTGCTCTTGTCACTGTCATTTTCCAGGCTGGCCCATCATTTTCAACTGACAATCAGAAGTTTGTGGTAAGAGTTCAGGAGAGCATCTGCCTTTCTGATTTTGTTTTGCCAACATATGGCATTTTGTTGTTCCAGATTTTCTTTAGCATTTGTCATATTGAATTTACACTGGAATAACCTCTAGCTTAAGCTGCTCTTTGGCAAATCACTTTAGCCTTGGAGCTGGGTCAAACGTTTATCAGCAGAGTCCATAGGAGACGTGCAGTTCCTTCAGTGAGAGGCTTTTAGGAATCCAGCTCCAACAAGTGATGAGTGGAGGAGGTAAAAAAACTCTTATCCAGTTTAATCCAAAACAAACGGAGCTAGGCAGACACTAACTTGGGGAGCTAACTTCTTGAAAAGTGTGATATTGTAGTCTGCATTTAAAGCGTAGCTTTTGAGACAATGAAATGCATTTTTCAGTACATTTTCCAGTCCATTAAGATGATTATAATTAATTGCTTTAGTTGTTGAACAGAAATGTCCCAAATGTATTTGAATATGATTATCACTTTAAAAGTGGCAATTAAACATAAGACTTGGTCTTTTTCTATCTATAACACTGACTCCCATTTTCATATCTTACTTAGGTCCAGTCATTGGTCCTACGGGACATATTTCTGTCAATAACTAAATATTGAGAGAAATATTCTATACCTTGATAGTTATGACATAATCTGTTGAGAAGGAGGGGAGAGGTCCAGCTTTAAGGACGGTTTTAGACAGTGAATTCCTCATGCAGTGTTTGCAGTAAAACCATGTTACAGAAAGAACTCCTCCCTGTGAGGATCCCAGATTAGGAGCTTGCCCGAATTTAGTAGTCCGGTGTTTCCACCGAAAATATCACTGATGTTTTTTGTTCAATTAAGAAAATTGTGTACATTATGATAACTTTTTTTAGAGGATGAAAAAGAAATCAGTTTAGATACAAAAGATATGCAGATACATTTGCATGTCTTTCTGCTGTCTTGTTTTTACCATGTGGTGTGATCCTGGACATGTATGCAAATCCATATTATCTATCCCTTCTCATTAATAATTTCTGCAAATCTTAGTCATTTAATTGAGGCAAAATCCTTAGTAATCTCAAAAGCCGTGCACTTTGTGAACCAAGAGTACACTTATCTGGGACACTGAGCCAGAAAGAACTCGATGTAGGAAAAGAATGGAAAATATTGTTCATACTGGGGAGGGTCTGGTGTTTAGGCTGTGGTTCAGTGATGCACAGCTGTGGTGATAGGTGCCTTACTGAGTCTATAAAATTCAGTCTAGTGGTTCACATTCGTTAAAAAACTGTTCATGGTTTAACTTGTCATTAGTAGGTTTTATGCACGACTAGCCATGTCTCCCCTCCCTCCCCACTTTAATGTGCACAACACAAGAAATTCAAGCCTGAGACACCCCCTGCAGCTCTTTGCCCTGTGATTAGGTGGAATAAGGCTTCCCCTCCTCTCGTGGTTCACAGGAGGTTTGGAAAGATTTACTGAAAGTGCTGTAAGACAACTTAACATTCAAGGAGTAAACTCTTCTTGTCAGTTATACTCCAAGGTTGTATGAGCTTTTTGTTCCGCAAATCTTATCTAGGAGGCTATCAGCTCTTTAAAGACAAAACATCAGTCCTATCTCATGGTAAACACAGAGCTATTCAGCCCAAAGTAAATGATCACCCTGTCGGGTACCACGTGAAGAATGAATTGGGTGTTCTGTTTGTTGACTTTAAAATTGATCAAACCACTAAGTACCCATTGTCTGTGAAAGGACCCATTTCTGCTAGAAAAAAGTAGCCATTGAGGAAGCAATTTGTACACTATTACATCTTCCATACATTTTAACTTCCTTGTTTGTGCTGAACCAAGTAAAGTGAATCAGCTCTTCACTTTTGGTTTCTGTTTTTCGGTTGGTTTTGTTGAGTTTTGTTTTGGTTTTGTTGGTTTTGTGGGGGGTTTTTTGTTTTGTTTGTTTTGGTTTGGTTTGGTTTGGTTTGGTTTGGTTTGGTTTGGTTTTGTGGGGTTTTTTTGTTTTGTTTTTGGTGGGTTTTTTGTTTTTTGGGTTTTTTTTACTTAAAAAATTGAAGGGTGGAACTATATTTAATTTTCAAAAATATTATGTTTCATTACGTGTCAGTAAAAACTTAGTAAAAGCTTTGTCTCTTGTTACAGTGATTTCAACTGCACTACATTTTGTCCAGTATGTTCTCTGACCTAGGATTACATATGCTGCGAGTGCAGGACTACTGGGAAATTTCTGAGATTTTTCACTTCCAGCAATGTTGCATGAGTTTATTATGAGTATCTAATAATTCTATGAAGAATTTTTTTCTAAACATACCACGACTGTGGCATTGGAACTCTTTTCACCTAAACCAATTCAGTTATCCATGGTGTGTTTTACTTTTCTCTAACACTGATTTTGGGTCTTAGCAAAATAAAGCAACTATGAGATTAACAACATTTTCCATGTGACAAACTACTTTTCTAGATATTTAGAGCACTGTCATTTTCTTCTTTTGTGTGAATGGCCAGACATGACATTGTATGATATGTAAGACACATAAATTATATTAAATAAAATATCATTATAATAAATATAAATATATATGTGTAAGAATAGAAATACAATCCTGACAAACGTGAAAAATACACAAGATTAAAACCTTGAGTTTTTCTCAGTTGCAAAATACAGTGGCCTAAAAAGGGAGAAACCTCAATTTAAAATAAACTTACAGCTTCCGAATTTCAAGGGGCAAGCATGTGCATCCATAGGAAAGTCTTCTAAATGCATTGGACATTCTGCTCTCACAGTCAATCTATAATGGATTAATGAGCAAAAGGACACATTTATTCTGGTTTCACAGAAATGGCAAATAGACTTCTATTAAGACACGGAGAAAAAGTATAGCATAATGTCTGTTATGTGATTAATTAGTGGTTAGAAGGGGGCCCGAAATGTGCAGACACACTGGGGGGACTGGCTCTGCCCCTCTGCCCTGCTTCACACATCAGAGACACGCTCAGGCTTCTCACTTGTGAGGATTAAAGTCTATTAGCAACGGAAGTTGCTTCCTTGCTGCCATCCTTGAATTGGCCCACTCTGGATACTCAGCCATTTGCTGAAATCATTTCATTGCTATTGGCTTGAGTGCAAACATGTTTCTTAATAAAAGAGATTAAATAAACTAGAAACAGTAACATACCATACATCAGCAAGGAGTGAACAGCAATACTTGAATACTAGGCAGAAGATTGCGTTAAGGCACTTGCAAAGGGGAGGAAATACAAATGGTTATGGTCAAAGAAAGAGACATATGTGAACAATGTGCTCCTAAGATAGTGGTCCTGTGGATTAAATCCCTAACAGCCAAGCATTTAGAAAGACAAGGAAAATTGATCTAGGCTTGTGTAGACTTGTACCAGCCAAGCAGATTCTACTTTAGCCTAGGCATTCATGAACGATGTTGTACAATAAATGAACATTCAAAAAGCCTGGAGACTGTTTTCTCCAAATGCTTGTACTGACTTTAAAAACATCTTCAAAATAGTTAAAAGAAAACTGAGTGTTCACCTATGTACTAAGCTGTCCATCTTAAGTTAAAGTCAGCAGAATCCCTTTAGACCTTGTTTGATTCCATGGGAGACACAAAGAAGGGATGTGCAGCTCTGTAGAGACAATATACCTTTTTTTTTCATCTTTAATTTGTAGTCTTTTAATCCAGAATGTTTCCATGACTGTGTATCATCATTATTTCAAAAGGATTTATTTAACTCATCTGACAACTGGGTAGCTAAAGTTCAGTTATTCATGAAGGGAGTGATGTATTTCCAGTAAGAGTCATTCCAGCAAAAAAATAATGTTTTCTCCTAACTTTACAAATGCTTTAATCAATTGTTTTTCTTGGTATGAATGGAATAAGAAATGTCTATTTTTAGACTGTCTTGCTTTGTATTCCCAAGCACAAGAAATATTAAGAATGAGCAATTAATTCTTTGTGCATCTGCTAGTTCTTAGAATCTGCTTCCTATAGGATCAAAATATTAAAGACCCTTGAACACAATCTCGGAGTACAGATTATAGTAAACTTTCAGGCTTTCTTATACTTTCTGATGGAGTCCTTGAAGGCAACACTAAATTAAGGTCCTCTGCAAACGGATGGATTCCTAATACTACAAGAACCTTCTTAAAGTCAAGCATTAGAACACATCCAGGGACTGTACACAGGAGGAGATGAAAAAATAAACACTGTAAATGGCTCAGTTTGTTCATCATTCCAAAATAATTACTAAACAGGACTCAAATTCTGTTCAAAAAGGAACTTGTTTTCTGTATGGAAAATATGCTTTCACAAGTTAAATTGCCAAACTAAATGAAAGATGTAACATTTTAGGGCTCACCTCATCGTGTATAGCAATGTCCCATCCTCTGTAATTCGTAATAGTTTATTTGGCATCGTCATGTTATGAGCCACTGACTTCTTTCCATTGTGGAAAAAGGTATCAGGTGTCCAAATTTTGCTGGCCATTAAATTATTTAACCGAAGAACAGTCATAGGTCCTTTGAATTTTAACCTCTCATCTTTCCAACTTTGGCGGAAAAATACATCTATAGTGTATTCCTACATCAATTCGGAAAAAAGGAAAACAGATGATGCCACATGTTGCAATATGGGAACTTGAAAAGTATGTTCTTACCTTCCCTAGAAGCAAGATGACAATTAATGGCATTTGTAATTATCAGAACATTTATTCCCTATATTACTTACAATGTAACAGAAGCTGGTTATTAAACAGTTACAATATCATTACTGTGTTCAACAGAATAAATGTTAAGAAGAATAGTATTTCAAAAGTTACACAAACGTTTGAGATATAATGGAGTGAAAACAAAATAATTCACTCGTACTTGTTCTTAACCTTCCATAAAACTGTAATTGGAGCGGCAGATGGGTGGTCAGTATGTGTGGCGTAGTAAGGATGTATCATGAACTAAAACAAGCCCAGTGAGACAGGGTCTTACCTCAGCCTTTTGTTCTAACTGTCTCATTAGCATAAACATGTAATCAACCTGCAAAAAGTTCACAGTTCACTAAAATTGTGTGGTCTGATTGATGAGATGTGAAATGGTTAGTTGGGCTAAATCGCTGGACTACAGAGAGCGAGCACAAGCTGAGGACAGCTTCGGGTCAAGACTTGCAGCTTGATTACGCGAGGACTAGGCCAGTGGGGAAGAGAAGCAGTGACTGACTCTGTACATGGGGAGAATCAAAATAACCAACACTCACCATGAAATGAAAGAAAAATTTGTTACAAAGCAACAGGAACAAAGTCAAGAGGGAGAGGGTGAAATTAAGAAAGAGATGTTGGAATATTAAGTATAGATGTATGTTGGGTGAAAATATGAAAAACTTCTTGGATGCAGTGCAGTCTAGGATTCCATTCTGACATGGAAGTTCAGTATGGGATTATCCTGCCCCTTCCATCCTTCATGGCCATAATATTGTGATAAACATGAAAAGTAGTCAGCCAAACATGGCTCTCAATTACCCTGAATGAAGATCGTTTGGCTGAAAAGCAGAACCTTTGCTAAGATCTCCTGTCAATTAGATGGCAAATCCTGAAACAGAGAAAACTCCTGTGTATGAGGGCACACAGAGCTTAATTTTCTTAAATTCTTAAATTTTCTTAAATTCCCTTAAATTTCTACTTTTTTTTTTTTAACAAAAAGCAGCATTCCATACAATGTTAAGTACTTGTGCAACTATTTGCAGGAAAGAATGGTGATTCTTACTAATAATGTGCTTTTCCTTCTTTTAGGGCATGAAATGCCTGAATAAATTTCTTGTTGACATGGAAATGTTGTAGTTCCATGGGGTGTTCTTACTTTGGCTTGTTTGGTTAGGTGGGGATTTTTAAAATTTTATTTTACTTTATTTTATTTACATACCAGACCTGTGAATCCTTTTGGTGCATATTTATTTCCATTTTATTAATCATATGCTTAGTGAACTGCTGAAGCCTGAATTTGTTCAGCTTCACTGACAGCAGTTGTGCACTTACAAACCATTTCTTGCTTCAGAATTTTGCTTGGTCGTGGCCTTAGGTTGAATTGTGAGCAAAATATTGTCCCAGGTATGCAACGGAGTAGGAGAGTAGGAGTTGTAAAAGACAGTATCTGTCATTAAAATATTGAATTTCCTCCATATTTTACTAGCACCAAAGAAAAAAATCCTCCTACACGCATGGGAAAGGTAAAAGACATGCCCAGAAGGCGACATCAGCCAATCCCTTTTCTCTTTCAGGTGCAAAGAAGGAGGTGAATGGGAGGTGGTACAGGCTGAGAAAAGGGAGTCTGGTTCTTTACCTTATATGAACACAAGGATCTTATGATGGAAAAGAACAAGGAGTCTGAGATATTTGGTAAGGGACATTACAGCATAAGATAAAATTCAATTAAAATGTAGCTGACAGGTCATGCCTGGAACAGATTGAATCTTTCACTGTCCCAGACCATTTAACCATATAGGGTGAATTTGTTTTGGCTGAGATATCTCAGTTCTTCAGCTTTCACTACCCACTTTAGCATGGACACTTCTGAAATGAATCCTGACAGAGAGCTGATCTTTAACATAGAGTCATCAGATACTCTGCTAAGGGCTTTCTTCTACAGGAGAGGGGCATACAGGGCAAGGGAACAGAAGGATTTTCTCTAAACCATGTATGATAGCAGTGGCCTATGTGCAAACATATGAGTGATGTGAAATTCGAATGAATTCTTCATAGTGGGAACTCTTCATTCCATAGTGTAAAGGTAAAAAAAAAAGGAGATTCCTGTCTGCACTTGCCATAAATTATACAGTATTGAATATTTATAACACTTTGACTTAAATGTTCTCTAATTTATTCATCTATTATCTCTTCCTGGAGGTTGTTTATTCAGAGGGTAGACCACTCTGTGGTCTACATGAGGTGCTGTACAGGAAGGTAGTCAGATAGGTAATCATTCCTGAAAAGTTTACAGTACAGAAAAATGGGAATTAAGGTTTACTATAAAAAAAAAAAATAAAAAAAATAAAAAAATTCTGTCTTTATGAAAAAAGTTAATTTTAAAATGCTTCTTATTCCAAATAATATATGTCAGAAATTTCACGAAAATGGTAGTTGTGTGAGAATAGCCAGATATCCGTTGATTAGTTCAATCCACTGAGCATGCCTGAAATCCTGCATTCTTCCAAAAAAAGATGATTTTGTTTTTAAAAGTGTTCTTCTCCTGTGGAACTTTATTCACAAGAACAAGCCAAGACATTCTCTTTATAGAATAACAGGTTATGTCTATGCTGCTCTTAAAAGAGTGTATTGAGAGTGGGTAGAAACACCATGTACTCCCTGATATATCAAGCGACTGTCTGCGCAACTGCCTTTGGATTCCTGCAAACAGATGGCCTGGGTGTGCTCACTGTGGCTGTGGTTTCATAACATGTCGTGTCAGCTGGAATAGCTCATTGCCAGTCCCAGCCAGCAGTCCTGGGCTCACACATTGGCCCCTCAGTGCCAAAACAGCTGCTTGGGTAGACTCCCAGTGACCAAATTGCCCAGAACGGGCTGCACTCACTGTGAACCTGCTCACCTGAGCAAATCTGGAGGACCCTTCAAGTGACAGTATCTACAACCAACTGTAGTGGGCACAGAGGACTTTGCACCAAATGTATGTTGAAATTAATATAAACTTTATATTCTGGAAAACTCTTCATTTTATCTTTCTCTGTCTCTGATTTCACACTTAGCTCCTTAAGCATAAGATTTAACATGAGTAGGCTGCACACACGTTACTTTTTATGGGAGGTGAGTAGGAGTTTTACACTAAATACTTTTCTGTGAATTCTTTAGTTCTCGAAACATACGAACACCTGCCTCTGTGTTTCTTGGTCACACATTTTATTAAGAGACTGATGAATTCTTTCCGCTGTTTAACTGACTGACAAACAGGAGCCAATGTTATATGGGTCTTCAATTATTTTTGAGATTTTTTTTGTAGGTAGCGATCCCTTATGCTACAATAACTGATGTACTGAATTATAGCTGAAGTCAATAATTCGTTTTTGAAATGTACTTATTCTTATTTCTGGAAGATGATTTTCAGCTTCTGCATTTTACTCTTTTTTAAAACCCAAATCCCATATAAATACCAGTTTGTCCTAGGAATGTTAATCGGCTTTACCTTCTACTTAATAATCAAATCACCTGAAAGTACGAAGTAGATGCTGATGTAAAAAGATCAAATAGTCCCAAGTAATTCAGCAGGCCTATCAGTTACTCTAAATCTATGTCTACAAGTAGGAAATCATCTGTGTTTATTTGTTTGTTAGATTGCCATTCATTAGTAGAATTTTCTAGTAAATCTGATTCAACAAAGGAAACATAACTTAACCAGCTGGTTTATGCAAAACAACTCTCATAAATACAAAGAATACATTCCCCTGCATATATCCATCACTTTTTTTGTTCATATAAACCGTGAATATCAATGGTTTCTACCAATCTCTAATCAAAGGAATTCCTTCTCTTTTAATGCATAATTTAGAGTAATAAGTATATTTTGTAATTTTACAAGATTATCACAGGACAAAAAAGCAGAACTCACTGATTGAACTTTTTAAATTGTTTTTATATATGTGCTGAGGGGGCAGAGCACCATCTCCCTGTATTACCCTTCTGTTGTAGGTCTAAGCAGAATGACTGGTCAAGAACTGTGCTGCCCAAGCTATTCTTTCTCATTTAAATATCATGACATCAGTTGCAATTCTAAATTTGACTGTAGTTTTATAAATGCTGTTTTCCAAGCAATCAAGGAAATACTGTCTTTTCATAAAGTTCACTTAAAAAAACTATCTTTTAAAAGTCACTGTCTCTGTTGTTCCATTCCTTAACATTGTTTTGAGTAGTTAGAAACTTGTAATAACCTGGTGTTTAAGGTGTTTAAAGTCCATAGTTTTAGTTCAAATCAAACAAATGATAATTTTGTAGTAAGAAATGGAACTTGTTTCCTTTCCTGTAATAATTTTTGGTCTCTGTTTTTCTTTTAATTTTTCTATAGGTGAATGTATTTAGCTAAATGTAGCCAGCTACAAGGCCGAACTGTTTTCATTTCTTCACTTAAATTAATGAGAATGCTTCCAACTTTCATCCTCATACGAGATTCCAGCAGTAACTGGTGGCTGCAGACCATGTTTTCCCTGTCAATAGCAACCTACTTGTGCAGAACTCATTTACATGCAAAATTTTAAGTACCTTATCCGTATTTCAACACAACTATTAATATCTTTTAAGACCAGGGCTCACAACATTTTCATTCAGTTTTCTGAACTTCTCCATCCCTTGCAGTTATCTAGCAATTTGATTTTAATATTCATTCCATAAAGAAGTGACACTAATTCTCTCATTAATCTTCTCTTCTCTTTCAGCAGCCAAGATCTAGGAAAGTCACTTCCCATTGATCAGTAGCTTTTAATATAAAAATACAGGTTAGACTGTACAGATGTCACACTGTAGGCATAAGTGTTAATTGGTTTTAAGGTGATGATCTTTCTTAGCAAATTGGATCAGTGGTGATCAGCAAGGACCTGAGCAATCAGTCTCAGAAGAACATGAATCCAAACCCTAATGCATTTCATAATATATTATTTAGCAAATAGAAAGTCTGTTAAAACACGTTATTGAAGTTACCAAGGCTGCTAATTTCAGGGCACTTAAATGCAGTCCCAGCCAGCAGGAATGGTGGCACACAAAAACTGACAGCATTTTCAGATCAAGGCCTTTAAGAAAACCCAGCCTTAAAAGGGGTAAATAAGTTATTGCATAGATCTTTCATCCTCCAAATTAAAAAGACAAGAGAAAATAAGTGCTGTAGAAATATAGGCCACTGCTTACCATATCATGGTCTGAAACAGGCCCAAAACTGGTGACGAAGATGTCAGTCTTCACTTCGGTTACACGCTCTGATGAAGCAGGAAATTAGGACAGTGAGTGTCTATCAACAGCCTTCATTAGATCTAACCACTACCAATTCTCACAATAGATAGAGAAAATGTTGTCTTTGATTAGCCATTCTAAAAATGGTCTACAATATGGTCCTGATAATTTACTGCTTCTAGATATAATTTCACAGTCAATATTGTTAGGTACAATTTTTTTATTACAGTGTTTCCACAGGACTTTTTGAGAAACAGCTTGTGACACCACAGTACCAAAGCCCCGGTTCCATTGTTGTGGACATTTTTTCACTCTTTGACTGATAAATCTTCTTGTCTGATAATATAAACAGTGCTGAATATTGTACACAGTACTCCAAAGTCTCATGGGATACTCACTGGTTTCTGGGCAAGCTAAAGCAAGGTCTCTAATAATTAACCTGGAGCTTATGAGTTATGTATTTTGTATTGAGACACAGGAACATAGAAGAAAAAAAGAGAATACATTATGGTGTACAAAAACATAAAGATATTTATTGGTATGAGTTAGAAATGGCTACATTAGCCTTTACTGCAATAAAAAAATAGGAGCTAAAACTTTTCCAAGGAAACATCAGATAAAATTCTCTACTGAAATCATCTGTGTAAACATTTTCGGGAAATGAGCCCTCTACTCATAAATTTGCTCTATAGGCCTCAATGAGAGATTAGTATAAATAATAGTTCAGAAATCTATAAAGTACTTAATACAGGTTATATGTATACACTATATCATAAAGCTGGACTTCTCTGTCATCTTCAGGTTGTAAATTTGCTCCACGGCACAATGTCCTTGACCAATTCAGAGGAAACCAGGGTTTTAGTGGTCACAAATGCTGAGTCTGAGATACCTAAAATGGTACTGATCTTCAGAAAGAGCCAAACATGCCTTGTGCAGATGGACCTGTAAAAGCCACTTTGAGAAACACCCAGGCTCAACCTCTCCCTTCCTCACACAGGATCAGGCACTTCATATTGGTGTGTCCTAGGGCACACATAACAAAGCTTTAACCAGGGTGGCATAGATCAAAATCACCCTGTTGATTTAAATACAGCTACGGGGAGTGACTCTGCCTGGAGGCAGGAATCCAAACCCTTCGGAGTGAGCTAATCCCATCTGCTTCTGTGGGCACAGGGGTGGAGGTCTGGAGACATTTACCATGAGGCTGTACAAGCCAGCGTGGGGATTTGGGTAGAAATTTCCAATGTGGAAGGAGGGATACAATTTCTGAAATAACTCTCACTTTTTTGAGACAGTAAAATACTCAATTTGATTCTACTGTCAGTCTAGGAATGCAGCAAATTACGTGTATTCAGTTAATAAGTTAATGTAAAATTAGGTGGTATCAAAAGTAATCTCCAGGACTCATTAAAAAAGTTAAAGGATGAAATTTCCAATGTATATTTCCATAATCACAGAAAGTAAAATGCTATGATATGACTGAATTGCCTAATAATTTTTTCATTCTTTAGCTCTGTGACCAAGACATGTACAAAGTACAGTGATCACAGGCAAAAGCACTGGATAGGTGAAATCTCCTCCTTGGGTGTCCAGTTAAATAATGTGTGACCTTATTATTGTTTACAAGTTTTTCAACTGACTTAAAGAAATTTCAGTATTTTGTTGACATCTAATTGGCTCTGGACTTAAAGAAATTCATGGTGAGAATTTAACCTTCTATAACTGAAAGAAGCATACGGTTGGTCTGAAATTACTTGGTTTGGAAGGAATGTGTTTAAGAGTCCCAGCTCTGAGCAAGACTCTGTTCAATATAATTCAGCTCTCTGGTTTCCCTTGCACAGACACAAAACACACTCTTTGAATCAGCAGCACATCATGTTGTGGTATCCTGAGTTCTGGCTTTGGAAGAAGAGTGGTCTTAGTAGCTGATGTTGAGGCTTAAGGAGATCACTTGAAGACATAAAATGGAAATTGTCACTAAGGAGGAAGATTTCCAAGGGAGTGGAAAAATAAGTAATGCTTTTTTGTTTCTATATAACATTGAAAATAATTTGACATGTAAATAATAAGTAGTAATAGAAAATTTGGATTATGAACTCAAACAAGATTGTGTTATCTTCACACTGATTTCACTTTTGCAGTGCACCTAATCCCAGGTCTGTTCAAATGCAGATAAAATCAGTATACACACCATCAGTTTTTTTTTCTTTGACCGGTACCTCATTTTCAAGAGCGATGAAAAAGGGTGTATGAACACACAGAGAAAGACTGGCCCCTCCAAAGCCATATGGAAGTTTTGAAATCTTTGTTTACTGTTTTACTAATTTGATGATTCAACTGTGCTTTGTTAAGAGCTTCAGAAGTTGTGAGTCACTTCTGCACAGGACATGTGTTTACTCATACAATTGAGATACATATTTAGAATCATGGTTACCCATGATCAATTTGCAGCTTGATTACCATGGGAAAGCTTAAATTGTGTTTCAAATGCTCAGAATGCTGAGCTATATTCAAAAGTCTAAGTCACTGAACAAAACAAGCTCAGACCAGGAGCTGATTGGACTGCTGAAGATAAATCCATCAGTTCTAAAGGCATATTAACCATGTCTCTTGACTGTGACATCTGCTTCCTGAATGAGGACTAAGTACTGTAAGGATATCTCTAGAACATGTAACAATTCCAGTAAAAAAACCCTAGGAAATTATTGATGACTTACTGGTTTTACTGTACAGCAACCATAGGGTCCAAGCAGTTACTGATCAGCAAAATTGCAACTGAGTACCCCACCCAGACACTCTGGAATAGCCTCAGGCAACTGATCCACACACAGCCATGAAAGCATCAGTCAGCATCAACTCCTGTAATTTCACTGTTTATAAATACTGTGTTTTGCTAATGATGCCAAACAAACATCAACTGTCAAAATTGGTAACAAGAAATATTTTGATTTAAACTCCCAGGGATCTCATTATTGCTAGAATGGTGATCTGATTACAAATTGAGAACAAAATAAGAAATACAGATTTACTTAAACAGCAGGATTTATCTGCTATTTATCATAAGAGACTATACATTGATGGTTTTCCTTTATGACCCGCTAGTATTTGAGCACAAGGTTTATTTGAATTGCATGTCTTGGTGGTTTACATTAGTTCCACCTTTTTGGTAATGCACTTGTTCCTCCTGCACGTCTTGTGTAAGTGTACGCTATAATTATCTGTACAGAGGAGATTTTTCTGTAGTTTTGATTGAAAGGAATTCAGATACCTGGATAGTGTATGCTGTTATTGCTCAAGAAAGTCATGTAGACTAATCATCCCAGCTGCATCCTGTGAAGTATTTTTATCAAAGAACCTCAACAAATACACTCATAAGAATTTTCTGCTGCTGCTTTTGTAGAGTAGGGACCAAAAGGGAGAGGGGTGAGCTGTGCTGTGACTGCCCAGCTGTAGAGTCTGTGCTGCTGGAAAGGGAGCTGTACAGTGTCATGGCAGCTCTCCACACACCAATTAACAGCTCAAAGCTGCTCATATCCTCCCTACCTCCCTACTGTTGTATTAAATCAATTTTCCTGGAGTTTTCTAAGGTTTTTTTACAATTGTCTTTACATCAATGTGGTGCCTAAGAGTGAAAAAAAAGAGACCCAAATCAGCCCTTTCAGTTTTTACAGAGTTAAGTGTAGCATCTAGTCCTTCTTTACTCACAGAATGATGTAGAGGGTTGAGGTATAGGACTGTCTTTTCATTCAGAGTAGAATCATTTAGGTTTAACTTCTTTATTACACATTCAGACCAAAACCTTATTTTCCCGAGACTGTATGTAACCTCAGACACGTTAAAATCCAATTTCCATTGGGATCTCAATAACTAAGAGGTAAGTTTATTGTGTATATAGATAATGTTCTCATAAAACTGACTTTTAAAAAATAATTAACATAATACTGTAAGGTTTACTTTCCCATCCCTTCCAGTCTGTGGAAGTGATGAATTGCCTGAGATTGACCGACGTTCCACTTAAGGACAGTCACAGTCAATTTTGGTAAACATCACACAGGAGAGATCAACAAATATGTTCTACTGATAGAATAAAATAAGTATAATTCTGTTCACTACTGAAGTAATGTTTATAATCTACTTGAATTGATCTATTGTTGGGCATTTGACCCAACAAAAGTATTTTAATTCAGGAAGATTCTGGTCTGTCAAATCAAACTCACTGTTGTTCTCCTTAGTTCTGTATTAACCTTTCTACTACAAAATCCCTCTCAAAGGCATAAACCACATTTACAATTACTCTAATTTAAAAAGTCAGAGACCATGTGATATGCTGTAGTTTTAAGGAGGAGAGGTATGCCATGCAAAGGTGCTAGTCTTAGAAGATCTGTAGCTGCACCTGATTTTGTGTTGATGAATCTCATCATCAAATACAACCTGCCCTATGCAAATCTTCCCTCTCTCCACCATGGCACTTCAAATCTGCCGTGGTGGCATCCCAGGGACCATCCCTTTGTCCCAAATGAAGACAACCCAGAACTAAAGGGAATAGGATATCCATTTATCTGAGGAACTTGTTTTCCCCACCATTTTTCACTGTTTTTCAATTCTTTTAACTCCCACTGTAGACACAGTGTATTATTGGTAGAGGCCACCAAACCCCGAGGTGAATTTTCCTCCTTATTTTGCTCCCTCCTGGCACTATTTGATCCTTTATTTCTTCAGGACTGTGTATTTGAATAGAGATCAGCATCTTTTTTATCTAGCCTATTTTTGATCACTCTAGTTCTAGGGTCCAGATAGTTCCCACAGAAAATCATGCTGTTACCCCAGTGACTTCACTGTTTATTTTTTCCCTTAATGTCTAACATGATTTCCTCTTTATCAGCATCAGTATGTTGCTCTCTGCTCTTCCTCCTTCTTGCTTTTTGTAAATGCTTATCCTCTCATAGAGTTAATAGATGTCCTCTAGTATGATTCACAACATTTTTGCATTTATTTTGAAAGTTCTATTTTCCATGCCTAAGTAACTAAATGTAACTATTTGTCCATGTTTATGCATGAGTACAACAGATGCTATTTCCTAGCAATGTCTGACTAAGTGACTATGCCCACATATGAAGGTGGCAAACAACTAAATAGCATAATTTATATCAATAATTATTGATAAAAGGTGCAAATGTGCCAGTGCACCTTGGTGCTGCGTTCTTCTTTTAAAAAAAGAATCAGATTAATTTTAGCACCATCGCCATTTTTTGAGTAACAAGTATATTCAAGAACTATGATTTTTCCCCATGGGTCACCAAATCCATTTTTTAATATTCTGGTTAATGAGAAATAATTTTTTCTTTGTTTAATGGCAAAATGCTCCAAGCTGCTCATTTAATTTCAGATAGGGCCTTATTGGGTTATCTGATGAATAATAATTTTTATTCTCATACTCTTTACAGAGTATGTGTGATTTTTAGTTTTCCTTTTGAAGTAATACCTCAAAAGAAGATTTAAAAAAAGGAAAGGGAGGAGTTAATTTTGATCTAGTACTGATTACATAGATGCTGAAAGAGTGACCCAAAATTCAGCACCTCTTAATTTTTTATTATCTTAATACTCTACCTTTTAGCCTGCCTTTTCCATGAATTTATAGTACAGCTCCTGCAATGAGTCTTTGTAATGAGATCTCTCCAGAAGGTTGTTCTTGGCTTTAAGATAGTGCCTCATCTACCTCACCAGAGTATTTCTACCAAGCAATGAAACTGTTCACCATGCTAACAGGAAGTTTGCAAACTTGGGATAGAGAAACATCATGATGTTTATTTCAAAAAAAAGGAAATTACTCCTCTGAGTAGAGTCAAGATCAAGATCAAACCCCTTTCACAATTCATTACAATTTTTCAGTAAAAAAGATACCTTTTAGTCACTGAAGTCTTTATGCATACACGTAATTACAAGGAAGGAGAAACAAACTCAGTGAAAAAACTCTGTCATCTACCTTTTATTCCATAGGTGAGAAAGAGAGAAACTGATTCTCTTTTGTTTCTTTGTTCATGCCCACAATTATGTTTCTGTAGGTGTATAGATTTGAAACACTGCACTACAGAGAGAGAGGTCATACAGGGATAACCAGAGTTTTCTGCAATGTACCCTTTTCTGAAGGAGAAAGTAACTGTACCACACATAGTTTTACCTCATCTACTGTTTCTCAGAAGGCGTAGAAAGAGCAGAAAAAACAGTTTTAGAAAACTGGAAGAGTGCTACAGTGCACTCAATGATACACTGATTTGCACTGTGCCTAACAGCATAAAATTTATCAACATAACATATATGTATGAGGGTCTCTAGTCTCTTATATCCTCCAATAGGTACATCATAGCTAGTATGGAATTAACAAGTTTTTGACCTAATTCTATATATCTAAAAATGGTATTATACTGGTAAATTTCTTTACTTTCTCTTCAGAGAAGATTAAAAATCATGTTCTGATCAAAATACTCAATAAGAAGCCATCTGATACTGGAAAGAAAAATGAAACTACTGCTTTTCCATATACATTTTAAAATTTCCAGCAACAGGTCACGCTATAATCAAAGGCTCATTGAAATTCCAAGTCCAAGCCCCATGCTATATTTGACACATTGATTTAGATTTTTCATTGCATATTTGTATTTGTGAAATGTTTCAGAATACATTTCCCCATTATACCAAGTGTCTAAATCAACTTTCAAAACTAAGTCATCTTGAGGTGCGTTGCTCATATTTACATTTAGATACCTCAGCAAAAAGAGTTTGAAGACGCAAATTTCCAAATTCCTGAGTAAACCCTTTGTTATAAATTAGTATCAGGACTGAAAATATCTGCCTAGATGTTTGTCCCTAGTTTTTGAAATCTTTAATTTGTATCTTTTGAATAAGATATTATTCAACAGTCAAAAGACTAAATCTGCTTCTAATTTACCACCCACAATTTCATCAGATGTGGAATTTTTTTAAAAGCCATGGTTCTCTGAGTTCTAATGTCCAGAGCTGACAAACAACAGATAAATTTGCTGAACTGACATTGGGGAACTCTAGTGCACTGTGCAACAGGAAAATTGTGATATTTGAGGTTCTTGGTTACAGGTAGGAACAGACAACACAATTCAAAAAAGGAGAAATGCAAAGACTATTTAAACTTCTCTAACCCTTAGTTAGAGAAACTACTCTCCTTCCTTTGCTTCATCTTCTCTTCCTTCCCTCCACCCCGTATTTCCCATCCTTCACTCAGTTTTGCTTTTTACAGACAGTCATGCAAATGGGTATTTAACTTTGTGAAGATACTCATTTCCTTCTATAAAAACAGTTACTTTAAATGGCGTTTTTGTCAGGAGTCAGTTTTAACTGGACCAGATGATCTTTCCTGACTGCACCTTTTAAGTCTGGTTTCAGAAACATATGTATAAACACACAGACATCAGAGTTGATGCTGATGTGCTTCCTTTTCTAATTTGCAATCCATATAGTGAGAGAAAATCCTATCCCTGCATCTCCCTTTGTTTGCTCTTCAGGCATCTCTTTAACAAATCATAATAGCTACAAAACTCATATAAGAAATAATAATACGCTCAGATTTTTCTTGTAGACATATACCAGACTCTACACACTTTACAGAGTTTCACTTATTTATTGCTTCTCTGCTTTGTTTATTTACTGTGATAGAGTAGCTGACTGAGCTGTACAGTTCCCTTAATCAAAGACTAAGGAGCATTTATCTCTACACTAGACCAAGGGTTTACAAACAAACAGGCAAAAGTACTGGTAGATAAAAGTAAAAAGTTACCCTTATTTTGTTTCGTATTACCTGAAAATGCACGCAAAGATTTACAGACAAACACGTTATTAAATGTGTTAATTAATACTTTATAAACAGAATTTTATCGTTAGCCATTCCTCAAAGTCAGTAAAGTCAAATTGTTGAAGAGCCCAGCTCACTATTCAAGAACTGTTACAAGATGGTGCCTCAAACCAAAGAATAAGCTTACACTTAATTAATTACCTTCCATTTCACCCACAGGAGATGGTATAAGAATTCTTAATGTAAAACCTTGTTATTATATTGCAGTTCCTCTGAAAGTGATTATAGGAAAACAGTTTGAACTACAGTTTTTGGGATGGGTTGCTCTGTTTTGTTTCACCTGAAGAGTCCAAAAGGGAAAAAAAAAAAAAAAAAAAGACATCTGAAATAGATAAATCCAGCTTTCCATGGGAAGAAGACATTTGTGCTTGTATGTTTAGAACCTCTGTGTTTATGCGCAGTAAGCTTTTAAGACCCAGTTTTGGGATCATGTCACAGTAGAACAAATCAAAGAGTGAACACAGGGATGCTGACAAAGACTAGGCTTTGTAACATCGATTTTATAAGGATGTAATTGCTATGTGGTTTTACGTGTTTTTATGGATTCAGCATCAAGAGCAGAAGAAGAAAGACATTTTTATCAAGCTGTGAAGAAAAAATGTTACAGAAACAAATCCCAATCAGAAAAACACTCTAACAAACTTCTCTGATACTTTTATGATTAAGGTAGGCTGATGTTTGCATTTTTAAACCCAAATCTTCTTATGAAGATAGTCATAGATAGATGTGCTGTTTACACCTGATTCATAAAGTTGTCGCTTGTGAGGTCACAAGTCATATTTTATTATCTTTTTATTCTTCATAGATTTAAATTTTTAATACCCATTCAGAGGTCTTCTTGAATTGTGAGCCATATTCTTCTCCTTTTGGGTATAAGTGTGAGAATACCAAGTATGTGAAAGACATAGGGAAGGCATTGCTTTTGTGAAAAAGATTAATTTAGATACCAGCATTATTTTATGTGTCTATATAAACAGAATTAAAACAAGTATATAATGGAAAAATAACATTGTTTTAACTGATTTTTATCTACATGTAACCTTGAAAAGCATAACACAACACACCTCCCAGTCCTGGTCTCAGGCGGTTGTCATACCCATCCAGCAGCCGATCCAGGATTCTGGTGAACACTGTGGTGTTGTCTTTAAGTTCATCTTGTGATGAGGTTTGTCCGTAACTGAAATACAGAACAGTCAATACTGGCAAACACTAATCCACCAACAACCTTACAAAACAGTAATTCCAAAATCCATTTAATCTTGCTTACACTGGTTTGTGGTCACATAACCTCTTCCATATAACAAGATTGTAGTGCTTTATAGGGTTCTTTCATGTTTACATTTTGTTCTTAAATCGCACTTTTTTTAAATCATAGAAAATCAGCAGCCCTCTATAAATGGTGAGCAGATAAAATGTCAGTTCCCTCATGTTTACATCATTACTCATTAATGTTTATAATGTGTTAATTATATATGTTATAATGTATGTGTGTTCCTCATGAAAAGGCTTTTTTGACAGCAAAAAATAGTGTGTTTAATTCAGTATAGTTATAAAGGGTTTGCATGCAAAGAAACATATAGTAATTTAGAACACTGACATTAGGTACTGAAAATAAATGCTGAAAAAACACAGAGATATCTTCTTCTTGAATATAGAAGTAGTTTGAGTGAGTGTGCTTTTTCATAGATTGAGATATTATTTTGCTTTATTTTATTTCTCATTTTCCTTTAGCAGTTAGATGTGGAGGAGTGTTTCCATCTTTTGCTTAAAAATGCATAATAAAACCATCTGTTGATATGAAAATCTCTCATTACCTCTAAAGCTTCTCTTGCAGATCTCTAATGTGTATCCCTAACTCAGACACAAGTCCTGACATTTTACTTGAAGAGGGATGTAATTAAAGCTCTTTGAACTCAACTACAAAAATCTTACTTCCATCAGTACAAATCAGAATGAAATCCTTGGCCTGTCTGCTGTGGATGACATCAGAATCAACCCTCTTCTTATATCTGAAACCTTTATCTAATACCCTGTCACAGATGACTCCCTTAATCATAGATTACACTTGTCTTAAGGCCTAACCCAGTACCATTTTCTCATTCATTGCTGGTAACACTTCCACTACAAACATGCGTTGTCATCGTGACTAAAAGCAAAAGCACTGCTTTTCCAAACATTGTTTTGTTGCTCCTGAACTGGAGGAACAGTGCAATGACAAAGCCTTTCACCAGGACCAGGTCTGGTGATAAAAGGGATCCCTCCTTTGGGCTGTTATCCCTTTGGCAGCACGAGGGCTCAGGGTTCTGCCAGTCTTTCCTGCTCTAACCAGCCCAGCCTGTCTTGGGAGGAACAAATGGTTAATGAAATGATGTGCTTCTACTAAAATACCTATGAAATTATTTTCTGTAAGCTGCATCAGTCAGGCATCCGTTGTGTATCCCACACATACATTCCACTTGTATCAAATACAGAGAGAAGGAGGAAGGATACCCTGAATATAGACACTCCAGAAATGCTTCCAAGTTTATTTTGCAGTGCATGTTTGAATATGTAATACTAAAAATTTAAATTAGTTTCAGGACTGACATCCATGGAAGTTTTACTAATTTTTGGTTTATTTCCATAGGATGTGACTTTGTAAAGAACAATGTTCAGGGTTTTTTAATGCATATAAATTCCCTATTTCGAATGAAAAAATCACGGTTTTAAAAAAATGCTATGAATTTCCTCTAGTCATGTCATAGAATTCCACTTCACAACAAAATACGTTGATTTATGTTTACTGTTCATACCTACAGTTGAATTCTAAGTCACAGACACAATTGGTTTTTTATGCTTCCTATTATTATCGAATAACAAATTCTCCTGCTGTCTCCAGTGAGCATTATCTTTCAAAGGATCTTTCCTCATACAGCTTCTGGAGCATTGCATCACAGGACCTTTCACTGGATTAAATTCACGTTGACACTCACTGTCACAAAACAAGCTCCTGTACATACATATCTCAAGGATAGCAGAAGGTCATCAGGATAAGGTGGGAAAAGGATCTAAAACCACTTCAGAAATGGCAGTGGTAAAGAAATGAGTGTGTTTGTGAGGTGGTGTCAGGAGGATGGCCTGGTGGCAGCACAGTGGGACAGACTCCCTGCTCCCATGCTGGGATCACATTTGTCATTTGTCCTTACCTGTTCTTCCCACCATTTTAGCAAAGGTAATAAGCACTGTTAGGTCTGGGTTTAACTGACATATGGTCACAACAGGAAGATTCTGAACATTTGTGCACATATGGAGTAGACTGTAACTCCAGAGGGATTGTGATTTTTCGTTCAAAACACACATATTAAAATCGTTCTGATGCTGGGGGGGAGGTTATTGTAAGAGTGACATGGGAAGACTGTCTTCCTGTATCACAGATACTTAATGTCATTCATCAATTGATTTTTATCATAAAGCATTAACAGCACCCCAGAAAGAAAGGCAAGGGAACTTATTATGACAAAATGGCTTTATAACCAGATATATTTCATGTAAGATGTGTAGATTTTGAGGAAAGAGTGACTGCATGCAATTGTATTTTCACATGAAACCCCAGTATAATAAAACACTGTGCACTGACTCCATCTACAGGTCATTCCAATGCTGACACCGAATTTTTAAACACTGGGCCAATGCGTTTTAATTCTCACATTAAGAATGCACATGCATCCATTACAGTATAATAAATATATGTACAGAGATGCATGTACACATATCTATAGAATAAACATGTTTTCACAAAATTCTCCAGCTAGATCAGATGAAGTGCTTTGTGAATACCTCAAATCTTGCCTTAGTGTATTATAAAAATAAAGTTATTGCTTCTGAAACATCAGATTTATTCAATATAAGCAACTCTTACATGACTTACCCACTTTCATGGTTTATTTTTTTTAGAGGAAATGTTTGTGCAGATGAACCTTTGCCCACTCCACTCTGTTTGAAATCTTCAAGGTAGTCAGGATCACCATTGACAATACAAAAATTCGACTGCTTTTTGTTCATAATAGACAGGACATGAATATTTTTAAAATACAGAAATACATCTGAGAGTCTTCTTAAACACCTTCATTGAATTTTGAATTGCAGAGAGTACTTCAAGCATACTGTAAGCTGCTTTAGAGTCTTCAGTTAACCTAGTAATTGTTTGATGAGGTGTTGTATGATTACAAATTGTTCTTAATACTAATGCTATTCATAGATTATCATTTCAACAGATATTCCACAAACATTAAGTGCAGCATGGTCTTTCCAACATAACTGTCACGGGCTTTGAGCTTTCAAATTCTTCTCCATCCAAGTAGTCTTCCTTCAGCAGGAAGCTCTACTTCAGATTTTCAATGCAGTTACTAAGTTAGGACACACTCCTGACCAACAAAGAAGTTAAGTTTTGCCTCTGCTTGCAGTGACAACAAAGTTACTAAATGTGCTAAATGAGATTTAAAACGCCCTTAATTATACTTTTTCCCCTCTAAAGAAACTTGTATTTCTGAGTAGCAATTATGTAAGAGTAGAAAAGGTTGCACAGGTGTTTAAGAGGTAGTTTAGTTTCAATTTGTTTCAGAAAGCTTTTGCTTTATTTTCTTCACCATATTGAAAAAAAATTCAGGCAAATGAATTGTAGTTTTCTTTTAGACTTCCCCTAGTTAGATTTATCTGGGATTTGAGCAGAGATTAAGTTCCCCCAATACACTAAGTGGTAGTGCAGCCATGAGTTTGTCTTACACTGCTATATTAAATTAAAGGTTCCTAAAATATGTTGGTGCACTAAAAAATATCTCCCCACCTTCTTTCAGTCAGTGTATTCAGAAGGAGGCTCCAGGCCCAGAGACAGTCACAAAGCACCAGGAATCTCTTCATGGTGGACTCTGAAACTAGAAGGAAAATAACCGTCAACATCCCCTACATTAAAGCAGGTATTAACAGAACAAAAAAAGTCTGATTTTGAAAACTTCTGCAGAATAATTTGACGTAAGGCAACGACCTCACAAAAGTATAGCTCATGTAATTCAGAATAAGGGCGTACGGCCTTGTCTGTTCTCCTGTTTATCTTTTAGACCCAGAGGTTTAGGGTAGGATTTATTTTGCAGTAAGGGTGTATTCTTTTTGCATTATTCTTGAGCTTTAACAAAAACAATTACGAGTTAAAGCTGCTGCTCCCAAACTCTGTGGCAATTCTTACTCAGTTTCCTCCTGTGTTGAAAATGTGACAAGATGCTTCCATAACATTTCCAGATAACCAAGTGGAATTGTTTTTTGTTTCACCTAACCAGCCTGAGCCCTTTCAAACCTCTTGGAAAGTGTCAGTGTGTGGTAGTGTGACTGAGGAGAGCGATGCTTTCCTCACAGCCACAGCTTTGCTTTGATGTGATGGAAGCAACTTTCTTCTACAGATACAATTCTCCTCTTCCCTGAAATACCAGCACCAGAAAAGGACTAAAATGATCAGATTCTAACTCTGTGATCTGTTGCTACATAGACACACTAATAATTTTGTTGGGCTAAAGGGCATAATTCATAATGAAACCATGTGTTGATAATCTACACACCATCTCCTAAATCTCTACCAGTCTCTGAATGCTGCTAGGAAATGTTTTTGCATTTAGCAGCCTTCTCCTTTCCAAATGTCTCCCGTTCTCTCTCCAGACTTCAGCGAGTTACTCTCAGTTTACCTTTCAGTAAAAAGTAATGCAACTTAGAAAATTTCTTTTGCTTTCTAATAAACCATAAAATAAAAAGTTAGCTGGTATTTGTAGAATCGGTGTTCCAGATTCAACTGATTCCCCACAAGATGTTGCAATTCCCTGTACATATCAATATAATGTGTGCTGGAATCCAGTTGATTTTTAGGATTCATTACATTAAATAAGGGCAGGCAAGTACAAAGCCTGTATTTTCCCCCAGTAGTGAATTGGAGGGTTTTTTATGTGTCTGAGGAAATGAAGCACTGTACACAGAGATGTTTTTGTACCTTTAAATAAAGCTACCCCAGTTCACTGCACACTCTGAGGGACAATTTAAGTCCATAAAATACCGTTACAAAGTGGTATGTAAGCAATGAGATATAATTAATGCGTTTATAGCCAAATGATGGGCAGATAAGCACCGAATAGGGCTGAGCTAATCTAACTGGATAGGAAGGAGCTGGATATGGCAGGAAAGCTTGGATAAAGATCTTCGGGGACGAGACTGCACCTTAACTTGCCCTGTAATCAACCCCCTTACAAAGGGAAAGGCGACATCTGTGGCTTCAAAAATCGCCTTCTCCCGGTCCTGCCAACTTCTGCCTTTGCAAAAGGCTCCTCGGGATGAAGAACGGAAAGTGAATTATTCTGAACAATCTTGATCTGTTGAGCTCCATGGTCTCCCCCCCTCCTCCCAACACCACCCCCAATAAACCCATGCAGGCACTATCAATTCCGGAGAAGGAAAGTTTCTTGCATCTGGAAAACCCAAATGTTAACAACGACTTTGAGGAGCGTTAAAGCCCAGCAGCTTCCCTGCCCCCCGGCCTCCCCCAGCCCGCACCACCTGAGAGACCAGCGCTGGTTCTCCCATTCAAAATGGGAGCAAGAGCCACGCTGCTGGGAGCGTTTCAGCAGCGCCCACTGGAAAGAAGAAGGAAAAAAAAAAAAAAAAAAAAAAAAAAGGAAGAAGAAGAAAAATAGGAAAAAAAAGGGGGGGATTAAAACAAAAACGGCGCTAAAAAGGGGGCATTTTGATGCATTTTTGACTCACGGTGAGAGATTTGCCTCCATCTGAGTAGCAAATCGAGACTTGTTTTCCTCTCAGCATTTCAACTTTGCATCCCCCTGCCCGGAGCAGCTACCCCTCCCACCGCGCCCGCGGGAGGGAAAAACCCAAACCCCAAAACCTTCTGCGAGGGACCGGCGGAAATCAGTCCGCGCTAAAAAAAATAAATAAATAAGATGAATGACAATGCCCATCGATCGCTGCGGATTTTCGAGCTGGAGGGAGAGGGAAAAAAATCCCCCCGACCCGGTGGTACCTGCGGAGAGGGGAGAGGAGCCGCCTGCGCGCCTGGCCGCGGTGCCCGCACTGGGAGCGGCCGGAGCGGTGCGGGTGCGTGTCCCTGTGTCCGTGTGTCCGTGTGTGCGCCCGCGTGCGTGGCCGTGGGGGCAAGCCCCCCGCCGCCCTTACCGGAGCCCTGGGGCGCGGGTCCCTGTGCCGCTGCCCGGCGCTGCCCTGCCGTGCCCGCCCGCCGGCGCGGAGGATGCGCGGCTCCGGCTCCGCCGCTCACTCCGCCTCGGCCATCGCCACCGCTGCTCCGCTCCTCCGGGCTGAGCACCCAAATTTCTCTGCCCAGTATTCCGACCGCCGCTATACAACAAAAGCTTTCTCTTTACCAAGACAGTAGTAATACGTCCCAGGGTAAACCGGATGTGAAATAGGCTGTGACTTCATGCCAGAGAGATTTTATTTTAGAAAGGAAGGTGGTACCAAGCTCTCATCTAGAGACCAATCCGCCCATTTTTTATATGCAGCACAATTTAACTTCCAGTGCTCTCGCCCTAATCCCTTTCTCTCTGGCTGCAGACTCAAATCCTTGTACAATCTGCAGCATTATTGTTACTGCGGGGGGAGGCTGCACGGCCGGCGGAGGCTGCGCTGAGCATCCTTAGACACTTGCAGTTTACAAAACAGTCTATTTGAAGGGTCGTACATTAAAAATACAACTAATCTGCGTTAGCGTTCGACCTTTGATCGAATATTTAGTCGCGGCATAACTATGAATGAACGCTGGCCAGGAGTGTAGAGGATGCAGCATTACGCGCTGGTGCCTGTAGACTGTATGTACCCACAGGGACCTGGCGGCAGCCCTTGACCATTGGCAGTCGGGGAAAGAGGTGCTGTGCAACTCTAAATAAACGCAGATAACACGCATTTTGGGCAAGACGCGCAGAAGGTCAGCCGCTGGACGCGGTGACTCTTCCGTACTTCCACACGCCTGTGGCCGGCAGGTGCCCCCTTTGCCCCGGGGCTCAGGCGAGGGCTGTCTTTGCTCGGGGGCTGCTCCCTCCACACCTCCCGCTGTCCCCGGGGAGCCGGGACCGGGACAGCCCAGCCCGGCCGGAGCCCGCCCGGTCCCGCAGCGCTGGGGGCGCTCCGGCCGCCCCCCCGGACCCGCTGGGGGCCCGGCCCGGTCCCCCTGTGCCCGCCGAGGGCTCAATTCTGCCTCACGGGACCGGCGCTGGGACCCCCGGCCAGCGTCCTGGTCCCCTCGGGGTGAACGGACCGCGAGCCCGGCGGTGCCGGCGCTTCTGCGGGAAACAGGGATAAAGTTGGACGCATCAGGTCCGGGGAGGTGTCGGTGTGCGGAGGGCACCGGGCAGCGCTCACCTGCCCACCACAGGTTATCGTGCCTTCAGCTGAGGCATCGTCACCAGCTTCGAGCCTTCTGCAGAGATGTCAGACGCTGCGAACTGCACGAACTGCACGGTCAGCTGTCCTAGCTTTGCTTCGTGGAAAGAGAAAATGAAGTCCTTCGTCAACAGAATCTGTTCCTCATAACGCACTACCAGCATCCTCAGGATGAAAAAACGTCCCCATATCACATGCACCTACTGGATTTCAAATACTGTCTACTTTCCCTCTTCTCTTCTCAATACCATCACCGATTCAGTTTCTGTTCCTTCCTATTATGCTGCTCCAAGATAACCTGAATTGGTATCTTATGTTACAGTTAAGCTATCTGTTACAAGATTTATCCAGATTTTTAAATGAAATGTTGCACATTCTGCACATCCTCATGAAATGCGTGATCTGTTTGTCTCTGTAACAGCATAGGAAGGATTTGATTTGACCCAAGAAACCAATGACATTCATAGCTAAGACTGGCAATAACTTCCAAGGTGGCAGTCATTTTGGATAAGTGCCTGACATAACAGTCTAAACACTGCAACGATTTCCCTAAGCACAAGGAAAATAGAAATTTTGTTTATCAAATTCCCCTAGTGCACCAAGTTCAGCCATACATGATTAGCATTGAATAGCCACAGGTTATTTTAAAGACTTGCAATGGACTTTTTGCTGAGTTTCCTGACATTTCCAATGTAGCTCATCTTATTTTGGTTCAAGGTTGTTAGGAGTGCATAGAAAAGTAGGGAACAGAAAAACCTTCCCAAGGAAATTATAAGTACTGTCTTTTCAAACCACTAGTGCATAGACGCGCTCTTAGTGGCTAGAGTGCATATTTTCCAAATATACAAAGTTTTCACCTTCATTTGCTCTTAGCTAACACAATTTACTATGTTACACTGAGGCATGAGAGAGTTTTGCTTAAGTAACAAGTAAACTGAGGTCCTCAGCTGAGTACACAAAACCAGCACAATGGACTTTTGCTAAGTACATGGATATTTTGTGGCTGTAAAACCACTGAGATTTCTTTTCCCCGCCACTAAGGCATTAAATATATTATCTCCAATGACCCTAGACTAATTTTTCCATGTATGTTTGCAAAAATAAATAAATGTTAACATAGCTTCCATATTTCATTTTCCACTTTATTTCTCATGAACAAAGAATTTTCAAGTACATTTGCTGTATGTATGTGTCTGTGCTTTGTAGCTGGACAGACAGATGGATTGAAAAGTGGATAATTGAATGGCCAGAGGTTTGGGTACCTCTGTGCACTAAAATCCAAGGAAGTGGAAATAGTTTCAGTGCCCATGAGACACAGCCTTGCATCCTATAGTTTTTTTTACTAATCTTAATTAGTATATTAAAAATGGCAACTGATTTTAGTTTAGTAAAGCATTAAGGGTTACACAGGGTAGTCTTTGCCTCCATGGGCACAATTGCTGCATGACAAAGGATGATATGTTTTTCTGAGTTCTCACTGGGTGAAAATATTAACCTAAAATTGGAAGTTGCTCATTCTCTCTCTAATTCTCATCTGCTCAGAAAGTAGGACAAAACTATTTTTCATCCATGGCTGAGATTCCTGTCCATCAGTGCTCACACATAACCCAGATTTTCCCTTTTTCTTTCAAAGGCTGTTATCACAGTTATCATGTCATTCCATAGTAAATGCTAAAAATGTTTGGATGTAATCAAACAAATAGGCTGTTTTGTGATGGTTTATGGTATCAAAATAACTGCTTTTAAAGAAAAAAAACCCTAAAAGAAAGTAGAATTTGTTTTTACCAGTAGAAATGCTCTTTTGAATCACAAATGCTAAGTGTCTTTCAATTCTTACTTTTTCCCTTTCCCCTCCAAGTTCCACTGACCTAATCCATACATGACTGAGGGTAATGCATTTATCAAATAAGTCCATCTGTGGATTGCAGGCACCTATCTTAAGGAGATATGTCTGAAAACCTCAAGCTGTATATAGGAATGTGTATAGTCCCAGTGAGTCTTAGGTTCAAATGATTTCATTCTCAAACAAATTGTTCAAACGGGAAAGGAAAGATGCATTTGAACATATGTCTGCAGGTAACTCAGTCTTAGGGGATGTGCATCTCCGCACAGTTTTGCAGTCATGTTTCAGAAAGGAAGATGTCAAGCAGACTCATGTTTTTTCAAGCCAGCTTTAGGACTCCGTAAAGCTTTCTAAAAGAGGCTGTTTCACTCATGTTACATGGGAATGTATAGCTAAATCCTTTAAAAACAATACTATTAAATCTAAACAGTCAGCCAAAATGAACTTGGCACAGTTCCTCTGTGCAATGCTTTGAACCTTGATGTTAGTGCAAGTGATTAGTAGCAACAAAGTTAAACCAATTGAATCCTAATTTGGTAAAATATATTTATTAGGTGATGGATTAAAATTGACATAGAGAAGTATTTTTAAAGTACTTAGAACTACTTTGCTTCTGAATTTCTAGTAAGCACTATTTGAAGTCTGGCCTATTCCTTTGGTGCCTGCATCCTCTGTGTACGTGTGTGTGTGTGTGTGTGTGTGTGTAGTAGTTAAATAGGTCACCAAGAAAGAATATTTTTTGCAGTGTTGTGGTTTTTATCATGTTTTTCTTTGTGGGTAGAAAATATACATATGTTTTATTTGACTTTAGGAGCATATATAAGACAACTGAAATTCCGCAGCAGAATGCTTCGACACAATGTGTCCTGAATAGCCAAGGGATTTGAATAAAGCAAATGAAACTCAGAGATTTACTGGCATACAGCAGATCAGATGAAGAATTAAAACAGAAAGACCATCTGCTCCAAAGCTTTGAACTCTGTTATTTACAAGTCCTGCTCCTGTGATTAAATGGAAATATTTTCTAAAATATATTACTCCAATTTGATTTCTAATTTAATGTGTTTCTGAAATATCTCAAAGCATAGCTATTGACCTCTTGGTAGGTATAATGAAATGTAATGGCCTAACTTTCCCCCCCTCCTTTAATTTACAGCCACAGTAAAGAAAACAGGACATATACTTGTCAGTTAGTGGTGCTTTTTTTGTTTTTTGTTAAAAGGCAAGTGATGATATAGAAAGAACTTTACTCTCTTCATGCCTCTTTCATCTTACAGTAAGGTTTTATTTACTGCCTCTTTCCTCTTCAAAAAAAATAGTAGAAAGAGGAAAAAAAAGTAGAAACTTCCGGGGAAATATGAATGAGAATCTTCCTGAAAACAAGTTGCACTGTTTTCAAAAAGTCAATCTAAGTTACAATCCCCATTAAGGACATATGAATGTTCTTTCTAGATCTGTATTGAAAATTAGAAGTGGCACTTCTTTGAACCCATTATCTATTAAAAATGGAATAAAGATGTAAAATAGCTGATGCCCAGAAACTTAGAGATGATGATTGTCTCTTGAGTTTTGAAGTCTTTGAGTACAATATTTCAAACAGAAAACCCAATTACTGACAGTTTCTCAGATTTTCTAATCCACAGACAACAACTTATTATGCCTTGCCATGCCGTTGCCAAACATCACCATGAAATTTAATCTGTAAAGTCAGAAATGGAGGATTCTTTCCTAAATAATAATAGGATTTCTTGTTTGATGTCAGAAAGAAGGAATACGATAATAATCTGTTTTCTAAAAAAAAAACACTGTGGAAAAACACCAAAAAGAGCAAAGGTCACAACTGGGAGCTTGTGGGGATTACAGAAGACTTGTAAATCCAGTGGTGATCATTGACAAGATCATTTTCAGAAGGCTTTTCCTCCAACAGCTGGATTTATCTCCAGTGCAATACAAGCCCCATATGTAGTTATCTCCCACGCTCTAAGTCACTGCTGCTGCTGAGGTGAAGTCTTGATTAGAAATCTCCAGTTTCCTGGAGCTTTCAGAGTACAGACTCAGTTAACCACCTACTACTAGGAAGATCTCCTCACAAAAGGGAGGAGTGTGCTCCTGACATCGTGGTGAGAAGGTCAATCAGTTACCTGTCAAAAATAAGGCAATAATTTTGGGGCTTACTGTCCTTCCCACACTGCAGTTGTAAGGAAAGATTTGTTTAGGAGTCAGATCTTAGAGTTATGACTTATGGTTCGACACAATTAATGACAATTCATTTTCCAATGGATCAATGAACTCACCTGCAATTTTGTATTGTCTTAAGGAACAGTATCGATCCGAAAGGATGATTTTCTCTAAAATGGGATAGGATAAAAATCTGTGTAAGAAGCCATTCCAGATTACTCAGAGTTCATGAAGGTTAATACTTTCTTTCTTTAAAAAATTTATCAAACCATACAATGCTTAGTGCATCAATAAGCCTTTGATACTAATTATTTACGGATAAATGAAATGAGTGACTATGACAAGAATGTGAGCAAACTAAAATAAATATTTACAAAGGTAAGAAACAATAAAATATATTTTAAAAAATTAAGAAAAAAATCAGTGGGAGAAACTTCATGTCGTATAAATATTTGCCTTTGATTGAACTAAAATATGTAGCGTCAAAATATCCCAACCTGTATTCAGAGAGATGCTTAAAACATGTTTAAATCCATCCCTATTCAGCCAAACGTTTAAGACTCCACTTAATGACGTGAGTCATAAATATTCTTAAACTTAAATGAGTTCCACTAGGCTGAATTTTGCTGCTTTGCTGCTTTGGAAGCCAAATACCCTGCTGACTTCTTAGGTGATCTTAGGCACATTTAGTTTCTCCCCGTGTCTTGGTGCCTTTATGTTGAATGAGAAGAGTGCAACCTGTGAAGTTCAACTTGCCAAAATTCCTGGAGGTTTCGGTGAGTGCAGTGCTAAGCTGGAGCTTTCCTGCAAATACCCTTTTGAAGCCCCAGAAAAGTTTGTAAAGCAGAGGTAACACAGACATTGACTTGTCAGGTGCTGGTTCCCACCATCAGTTAGAAGTACAGTGTCTGGTTCAGCTACTCCTCCTCCTATCATGCCTTTCTCACTTAGAGATGATGGCAGGGAGGCTCCTCAGGTGGTTTTCTCTTGCAGTTGGGTGCACCATGTGCTTCCTGACTGCTGATGTCACTGCTGGAGATGTGCTTGCCCAACTGCAGTATGCTGTCAGAGCATTCTTGCATGCACTGTGCTCCTCTCAAGGTTGAAATCAGCTGTAGAAACAGTCAAGGAAACATTAAGTGATATTTGTATTTTCAAATTTAATTTTTGTGTAATCTGCTTAGTATTAAAAATCCAAGTACAGTCAGCATAGCAAATACCGATGGGGAATACACTGGGGCAATCATTTACAAAGGGGTAAATTTAGCCTTTGCAGTCATCTCTTTTAAGGTCTTTATCCAAAAGATCCTGACAACTCTTCTGTATTTCTG